TGGCGCCGGGAAAGCCCCCGGGGGGACGACGCAGAAAAACAGCGCGGGAGGAAAAGAAGGAGCACAAAACGAGGAAAAAGGGAGGCGCTCCTTTCCCGACCGAACGCCGCCCTGTCCGCCACCCCGGGGGGCAACTTCCGGGAGAAAGGAATGGGGGAAATTCTTTTTTTTTTTTGTGGTTTGGTGTCCTTCGGGTTGGCTGTCCCGGTCGGAGTGTTTCGCTGGACCGCGAAGGTGATGGGAATGGTATGGTTCCCGCGGTCGTGGCGTGTTTTTTTTTTTTTTTTTTGTGTCGGCGTTCGGCGTCCGTGGGGTGTCACCCTGGGGGGTGGCGTGGTTTGTTCTCTGGGTTTCCCGACGTCGTTTCGCTGCGTTTTGCTGGCCGGGTGTCTGGCTTTTATAGGGTTTTTTTTCTTTTTTTCTGTGTCTTGGATTTGTTTGTGCCCCCTTTTTTTTTTTAAATAATACGACGTAGTCTTTTGATTTGTGTTTTGAACTTCTGCTCTATCGTAAGCTGCAACTATTTGATTTGTTATGTTATTTTGGTTACTTAATTATTTCTTTATTTTGTTAAATAAATAAATAAATAAATACATAAATAAACAAATAAATAAATACATAAATACATAAACAAATAGGACAAAAAATATACATATTTATTTATTTATTTGTTTATTTGTTTGTTTATTTGTTTGTTTATTTATTTATTTATGATGTTGGGGTGGGAAAAGAGGTATCGAATTTCTTTTTTTTTTTTCCTTGCCAAGCATTGACCTTTTTTTTTCAAGTTCTCTTTTTTATTGGTGCATCTTCAATATATATATGGATATTGGATCCTCATCGAAGGAATATGAGGAGCTGGGCTGGCAGAGGGTGAAAGGTGTCTTTTTAAAGTAATTTCTTGATAAATTTCCCAAAGGAATATTTTTCCAAGTTTTTTTTTTTTTTTTTTTTACTCTGCTGGGGTTTTCTGATATTGGTAAAGTTATTAATAAATTACCAAAAAACAACTACAGGAGTTTATAAGCAGCGTGAAACCCCATTTGTTTTCTGTTTTTTTTTTTTCGAGGTGGGGAAAGAGAGTTTGAAAGCATTACTGCTTTTTGTATTATTTGGTGATGATTTTACTTTTTGACACCCATGTATATCCTAGGATAGTACTTTAATGTTTTTTTTATTCTTTTACTTAGCATTCTAATATTAATATGTTTTTATTTCTGTTTTGCCATGATTCTATTGCGAGGATCATTATGCGTGTCACATTTTATTTCTTTTTTTTTTAATTTTTTGTTACCCAAGTGCTAGTGAGGAGAAGCAGAAACTGTTGGTGGGGTTTAGTTCTGTCATTATAATGCGGTTTACAAACATTTATCTAGCGCCAACATTATCGAAGGCAACAAGACTTCAATTAGGAAACATAAAAACAGAGTATGGCTATGTATCAACTGCAGCTGGATCGCAAGAAAAATGGGGCTTTCTCTTTAAAGCTAGAAAGTATCCATTGATCAGTTGCGGTTATTCAATTTGTTTGATCTGTCTTGCCATTGGTGTTATAGGATCATATCAGCAATACCGTGATATGGTGATTATGACGGAACATATTTCGTATGAAGATGTTCGGGACCGCTGTCTTACGCCAATTCCTGGCTGGGCGCGTATCCGAAATGTTCAAATAGCTAGCCCTCTTGGTCCGATGACTTATCGTGACCCCACTCCGCTTGATTGGCTTCCATTTGAGCTCAAGCTAGGTTACGTTAAACAGGCTTCTTACTAGAATTAATAAGCTGTAGTGAGTTTTTTTTTCTTTTTGAATGGGATGGGATTAGTGGGCGGGAGTTAGAATGGGGGAGGGGGCGAGTCGGGTGCGGAAGTGATAGAAAAAAAAACAAAGTAGCAAGTGAGGTAACGTCGTAATGTTTGAATTGCTGTAGAAGATAGTCCTTTCTTATTTTCCTTTCTCTTCTCTTAAAAAAAAAAGAGAACCAAAGATTTTTTGTTACCTCTCTAGTAAATTACTCGATGTAGAAATTTTTTTTTCTTTTTTTTTTTGAAGCTCTTGTTATTTAGTTTTTTCTTTTGTTCTTCTTTCGTATATTGTTTTTAAAATTTTAATTTACTTCTTTTCTTTTTTCTTTTTTACTTTCTTTTTGTAAGGAATAAAATGCCTGTAAAAGAATCAAGAGACGAATGTGTCATCCAGTTTCGTGCGGGAAAAATGGTTCTTAAGGATGGCAAGGTTGAACCAGACAAACGTAGAGGAATCCTGACTTTTTCGAAAGATTCAAATGGGGAGGCGAAAATGACATGGGTATCTGGAAAAGATGAAGAAGAATACAAGCTTCCAAGTGGGCAAGTGAAATTCAGTAGGGTAGAAAAATGTACTACTGGAAGAGTCTTACTGTTTGATTTTGGTAATGATAAGTCTCCTGTATTTTTTTGGCTGCAAGAAAAATCTACAGATAATGATGCAGAGTATTTTTCTACAATACAGGAATTACTTGCTGAGAGTCGACAGGTAACTGGACGTTCTCGAGCTGAGCTTGAAGATTTCTTCCAGGTTATTCTGCGGAATATGGGTGTAGAAAGGGAGAGAGATGTGAGCTTGGTAGATATTTTAGGGTCAACAAAACTTCTTGAGGCATTACGCGAGGATCCAGCTTTTTTTATGTACAGACTCCATCAGTTTCTGCCAGAAGGAACTGATCCTACTTCGGACATTGTGGAACAAGTAAGAAATCCACAGGTTTCTGCAGCAGCATCCTATTTAACTACAGCTCTTCAAACCCCTGACGGGTTTCGCGGACTTTGCACATCTTTCGGAATTAATGGGAAAGGTTCAGGTGTGTTGGGATTCCTTAATGGTTTGATGAGACAAAGTAAAAAATAGGCTTTCGATCCTCTCAGTTTTACTATGGAGTAAAAAAAAAGTTTTTTTTTCTTTTTTTTTTTTTGGTACAGATTAGCTTTGATGTGATAATTTTTCTTGACTTATGAATTAATATATATATATATATATATATATATTTGAAAATGCGATTAGTAGTATGAGGAATTATCTTGAGATTTATAGTGGTCTTTTGTCGTTGTTTTTTTTTTCTTATTTTTTTTTTTTTAAATCTGCAGGACGGCCATACACTCTTCCTCTCAAATATGCGTTTGACAATTCCTTTTCGCTTAAATGTGCTTCCTGATGCCCATAGGTATGCACAGGCGACCTTTCATGAAGGTACACATCGTCAAGCTCCTGGTGATTCCACCCCTTGGAGAGACGTGTCTTCTCCTTTAAATAGGATAAAGGTATGGTGGCTAGCTCCAGCGGCAAAAGGGAGTATGATAGCTGCTTGGTGTATAACACTAGTTCTTGGAGCATATTGTTTTTCTATTCAACAGGATGCCAAAGGAACTTATTTGCTTAATAATGTTTTGCTTCGTAATTTGCACGAAGAGACATTACGAGCAGATGCCAACCAAGAGCGTGCAAAAGATTTGCAGAAAACTTTGAAAACTCAACTTGAAGAGGAAGCAGAACTTAGAAAAGGGAAGTTAAGGGTTGTCAAACAATATGAAGAATTCAGTGATAACATGAAAAAAGGATTAGTAAACTATGAATTGGAGCTTTCACGTGAACGGGCGAGAGCTGATGTTGTACACGAACGCAATCAGGCGTTAGTTGATGAACTAATTAAAGTTCGTCAGGAACTTTCTTTAGTGAAGAAAGAAAATGTAGCTTTAACAACAGAACTTCAAAAGTTGCAAAAACTATCGAAAAAATTTGCGTGATTTTATTTTTTTTATTATCTGGGAATAGAGATTATTAAAGATTTGTAAATTTACTTTGGTTACATTCCCCCCCCCCCTAAAAAAAAAAAAAGAACAAGAACAATAAATGAATAAAAGAATTCCATAAAGAAAAATGAAAACTTTTATTCTTTTTTTTTTCTTCTTTTCCTTTATCTAAGATTTTTTTAAAAAATAATTCTTTATTCTTGATCTGTATTAAATTTCCGAAAAATAAAGGGTGAGTATGTTAGTTGAAGGGAGTAATGAAATAATTAAACGACACCCACGAATGATAGTGAAAAGATTTCCTATTCGACCCTTCTTTGAAAAAACTACAGTACAAGACACCTACAAATGGCCTTTACGTGGTAAAAATGACACAGTCACCTTTGTAAATTTGAATACACAAGGAACTCAGGTGGAGTGTCTCTTGCGCTCTAACAGATTGAAAGATAATTTGACAACGTACGAAAATGATTATATCAGACCAAAAAATTCCCCTCCTCTTATCCTCCATAAGTCGCCGTCAATAAATAAGAAAAAACCAGCGGATTTTCGTCTTGAAACAAACACAACAACCTATAAAGAGATGAACCTTCCATTGATGAGTGCCCTTCGTTGTAATAAGGCGGTTTATGTGATTCCAGTAAAACCCCCCAGAACTTTGCCAGACCCGTATAAATTGAAGGTTTCTTCGGAATACAAAAGTTCCTTCTCGAAGAAAAAAATTGAAATGGAAGCTGCATCATCAAGAACTCCATCTCCTAAAGGATTTACTTTCAAAGGAAAAAGTACAATGAAAACCGACTATACATACAAGAAAATTCTTCCACGCATTTTATCTCCCAAAAAAAAGGGGGTATTATCACCGGAAACGCGTGACTTTCGTACTACATACCGTTCCGCACACAAATAAAAAGCTCTCTTCGGCGTATTCTGCTATTCCTTCTTGCATTAAACTCTTGAGACGTAAACGTAACTGATACATGTTTTTTGCTTTGCTTGATACATTTTCTTTAAAAAAAAAAAATAAAAAAAATGTACATTTTTTTTTTTTTTTTTTTTTTGCGGGAATTTGGGTTGGCTTTCCGTTTTTTTTTTTTTTACTGAGGTTTATTTTTGCTGAATTTCTCTATCCTATATACTTTATATATACACGTAATGTGGTAATTTTAGCTTCTGTTGGTATTTATTTATATACATTTTTTTTTTCTTTTTCCTTTGTTTGATTTGCTTTTGATTTCCTCAGAAGTCCGAATATCTTTCTTTCGTTTTTTTTTCTTTTTCTTTCTTTCTTTCTTTTTTTTCTTTAATTGTTTTTGGTTTTATTTTTCTAGCGTTAGAGGGATGATTTCCACTCTGGGTACGTGGGATGAAGGGATTCGTGCTTTTCTAAAAAATGTAAGTCAAAAGGGACCAGAACCGTGGGACATGAGTTACGAAGAAAGACGACGACTCACACTTGAGCCTCGTGTTTTGCGGCAATTAGAATTGGAGGATGAATGGAAGGAGACATGTATGGAAGGGATTTGGAATGGAATGCGTCGCTTTGCACGTCCAATGGAGGATTACAAGTTATCAGAAAGTCGTTTTTATGAGTATTTGTTGTCAATAGGTATTTCTAGTGAATATCTTAAGATTAGACTTTTTCAACTATTTCGAGTTGAACCTTCTGCTGAAATTGATTGTCTCCGCGTTTGCAAGGCTCTTTATATGGGATTAACCGATGAGGGCACCTCCTCAAATTTCCTTACTCATTGCTATAAGTCCCTCCCTTGTAGTCCTCTCACTAGTGAAGTTGATCGTTCTGCTGTATTAAAGGCTTATGAGCAGCAGCAGCAGCAGCGTCTTACAAAGGAGCAAAAAAATAGTGCAGATTTGAGAAAACAACAGTTAGAAGGTGTTTTGAGTTTTTACGAAGACACAGATGGTGTTGTCTTTGATATTGATGCTTTTAAATCTCTCTTTTTTGAGGCTGGATGGCATTTATGGGCGAGTAGTTTTGTTAAACAAATTTTTGAAGCTGCTGCCAAGTACTTTAATAGTCCATATGGTTCTTTCCCTGTAATTCCTTTGCGATGGACAAAAATGGCAGAACCCTTACCCTACAGTCGGGATGTAGTTTACGATGCTGATTCGCTTCTGCTTCAAAATATCGAACTGACAGGAAAGGATAACATCGATATGAAACAAAAAGGAAAAAAGCGTCGTGGACGCAAATCCCAAAAAAAATGAAAAGGGATGTAAAGTATTGCTTTTTGTTTTAAAAATATACTCGATTTTTTTTTTTTTTCTTTTATCTTTGGATACTGGAAGAGGTCTCTTGTGTTTCACTGAGTTTAATACATTATTTGGTTTTATTTTTATTTTTTTTTCTTTTCTTGTGTTTTTATTCGTTTTTGGTTCATATATCCCCTATTTGTTTTATTGGTATTACTTAGTACAGATAAGCCCCATGCAAGATTACAGAGCAGAGATTCAGTTATTAGCACGAGCGCATCAGTATCGGCTTCATCCTTTTGCCCTTAAAGAGCTTTCAGATTATGTTGCTGGTTTGGGCATAGATGATGAGAGGCGGCGTGAGACACTCCGAGAACTTTTTGCACTTTTCCATAAATTATGCCTAACTGATCGTTTTATAGACAAAGAAAAAATGCTCTCCGCTATAGCGCAACAGTCTGCTAAAGATAGAAGAACTTCTGAAAAGGGTGCCCCTTCTGTTATTCCTATTTTATTGGACGAAATACCTCGTGTATACATGGATGAACGAAGTGGTGAAATGAAGGTATTGTCATCTAAAGATCCAGAGGGTAATCGTTTTGGTGCACTCCGCCAACGGTATCTGTTTGCTAGGAGACGTTGTCTAAGAAGTGGTTTATTTCGTCGTGATCTTACTAAACAGTCTTTAGATGGTGATTTACCACCCCTGCTTCCAAGTATTGCTCTTGAGGGAATAGATCCTTCTGAAAATGTGGCAGTATTGGGAATGATTATTAGGCGTCTTAACGAAATTCACTTGGAAGATTTATATGGATGTCTTAAACTCTTCTTACGTGAGGATATACAACCTCCTTTGGGTATCGTGGGAGATGGTTTTCTAGTTATAGTAAAAGGGCAGTGGTGTAATGGTCGTCTAACAGTTAACAGTATTGATTTACCACCAGCGGAAAGACGTGAAAATACTTTACGAGATATTGGTTCTAATTACGATCTTTTTGGACACTCACCAGCAGATCTCACAGCAGCATTTATGCAAGAAAAAAGTTCTCTTCAATCTGTAATTATAGTGATGTCGCATATCTATTTAGACCAACAATCTACAATAGAAAAATTAATTATTTTCTTTAGGGAAATGCAGAATCGAACAGAAAGTGAATTAGCGGATACTACATTGGTTATGGTAGGTGATTTCTCTTCAACTCCACTTCATTACGAGGATGTTTCTCACCTTCCTGAACCTTTTGAAGGCTCTGACCGCTACAAACTTCTTCTGGATACCCTTGCGACAATCATTACGACACATGCACCAGGTGTAGCTCAACACACACAAGTTATACTTGTTCCTGGACCAAATGACGTTACAGGTTTACTGGGTGTCCTACCTCAGCCTCCTATTGTTAGCGTATTTGGAAAAACTTTACAGACACGACTAAAAAGAGTGGTTTTTGCACCAAATCCTTGTCGTTTGCGTTTTTTCACACATGAAATTATAGTTTCACGCCGTGATTTTTTTCGATCTTTACAAGAAAGTACTCGTGGATTCGATTGGTCTTCTTCAGAAGAGGCCAGACATGTCACCTCATTTGAAAAAGTTGCTAAAACCATTGTTGATGAAGCACACTTAGCACCTGAAGTTAAGGAAAGCATTTTATGGAAAGTGGATGGGGCTCTTTGTATGCCGACCCTTCCTCATTTGTTAGTCCTTTGTGATAGTACAGAACAGTGGGAATGCACATACAAAGGGGTGCGTATTGTTAATCCAGGTTCCTTCTCTCTCGCTGCAACCTTTCTGTGGTACACACCTGCTGATGGTGAATGCAGTCTAAGCAGCGTCGAGCAGTAATCCCGATAGAAGTAAAGAAAAAGGAAAGAAAAAAAAAATAAAATAAAAAGTATATTCACACATAAGGAGAATGCTGAGTGTGCATAAGTGCCGTTTTTTTTTTTTTTTAATTCTTTTTCTTTGTTTTTTTTTTCCCGTTAAACAGAAATAACTCTCTCATCAAGAGAAATATTTCCATTATACGAAATAAAAAAAAAATATTCCTTCTTCTTTCTCCAAATTTGATGAATTAAAAAGGGGAACGGTAGTTTTGTATGAAGCGTGCACGCCAAGCGTATGAAGAAGGGACTGAAGAGCGACGCGATAAAATCGTGAACTTCATAGAGTCCCTGCAGTTCTCTGTTCCACTTTACCGTCTAAGGGAACAACAAGGACGTAATCCTTGCCCAAAATGTGGTAAGCGTCGGCAGTATTACTGCTATGATTGTCTTATTGTTGTTCATCCAGAGAGTCACCCACCCCCTCTCTCGTTGCCGTTGAACGTATATGTGATACTTCATCCTGGGGAGCTGCGTGGGAAAAGTACCAGTCTGGCTGCTTCTACCATTTCACCAGATTTGCACATTTTGGAGTACCCGGAGGTGCCTGCAGATTTAGAACCCGAGTCGACACTCGTGCTGTACCCGAGTAGCCAGAGTACAGAACTAGGCGACATAAAAGACTTGAATTCTTTTAAAAATGTTATATTTATTGACAGCACATGGCAACAAAGCAAAGCTATTGCTCGTGATGAACGTGTACACCGGTTCAAACATGTACGAATCAAATCACAGACATCCCTTTTCTGGCGGTTTCAAAACAATGATCCGAGTTACTTGGCAACTGTGGAAGCAATCTATTACTTCCTGCGGGAATTTATTACCCACAAGAATCAGCGCTCTGGAGAAGGACCACCATTTTATCATGGAGAAGTGGATGATCTGCTCTTTTACTACATAAATCAGTACATCGCAGTACAACAGCGTTACAGTCACGATAGTACAAAACAATACACGACGAGACACTTTGACAGTTACATTCTTCCCAGCTCCTCGTGGGATGATCTCGTAGCACCACCACCACCACCGCCGAAATGAAGAGGGATATTGATAGCAGTAGTAGTAGTGGTAGTGGTGGTGGCGGAGCTTCAGTGATTCAAGGGTGTGGTTCCCAAGAAAGAGAACAAATAATTTCCGTGTAATACAGGTCCAATTCCTGTTCGTATGGCATGTTTGCAAACATGCACACAAAGAAACTCAAAAAAAAAAAAAAAAAATCACAAATACAGACCTTCTTTTTTTTATTTTTTATTTCCATCTTATTTGGATGCTATGACATTATTATTATTTATTTTTTTTTCCTTATCTTTCTCCTGCTTATCTTTATTTTTCCTCTTGAATAGCCAGGGCTGATGCCGCCAAAGAAAAAGCCTGCTGCTGCTGCAGGACCAAAGGCGAAGCAGGCTACAGGTGATGCGAAGAACAAAAAGAAATCGACTGGTCCTTCAAATACTGATGTAGCTGTAGCTCCACCACCACCACCACCACCTGACGGACGAGAATTGTGGCTGGCTACAGATGCTCTACAAAAGACTAAGGCAATGCGCAACTATTTTCAACTGGAGCGTGATCGTATAATAGCCTTTTGGGAGATATCAAAAAAACAACTAGAGGAGCTCAAGACGCTTCTCCGGGAGCGTGAACATGAGAAAGCAGAAACTGAAGAACGTCACGAGGTTGAGAAAAAGGTGTTTAAACAAAAAATAAGGCATATGATGTACGAACATCAGCTTCAACTTGCAGAAATGACTGGTGAAGCAGAGCGAACACTTGCCATACGGGAAGAAGAGTACCGCCAAAGGGAAAGAAACGCAGGTAGCGAAATACGAGATGTTAAATTAATATTGCGAGAGCAAGAGAATGAGCAACGTGAAATGGCTTCTGCTCTTGCTGCTTCTCATGACAAGGCAATTGCTGAGCAACAAGTTTCTTTTGAGAGAAAAATGAAAGAAATGCATCTCATGTATGAAAAAAAGACGAAAGATCTTCGTGAAGAAATGGATCAACGTCGACGTGAAGAGATTGGTCTAATAGAAAAACGACAAGAAGACCATATTGCCGAATTAAGAGAGGTACACGAACGTACCTTTAGAGAGATGAAAGAGTACTACAGTGAAATTACATCAAATAACTTGGAGACGATTCGTACTCTTAAGGATGAAGTTTATGCTCGCAAACGAACTGAAGCACATAACGAAAGGGCTATGATGGATGTTGCACAAAGAAATAAGAAACTTACCGAACCGTTAGCTAAACTACAGAGACAAAAACGAGAGTTGGAGCAAGATCTTGTTAACTATTTAACTGACAAAGAGAAGCTTCGAGCAATGAAAACGGAAGTTCGAGAAGGTGAACAAGAGTTGCGTACGCTTTCTTGGGAGCACGAAGTCCTTTCCCAGCGCCTTGCAAAACTAGAGGAAGATCGAGATATAATCCTCAACAGATATAACAACATGTTACAGGCGATCCAACAAAAAGCAACATTTCGCCGTGTCCTTATTCAGGGCAAACTAGAACTTGTCCAATCACAACTAGAGGGACGTGATGCCCGGCTAACGGAGTTGCTAAAACGGGCTAATATCGATCCTGAAAGTATCAGTGATATTGAGCATAGGGTGCGTGATTTGTCGCTTGAGAAAGACATTATGATTGGAAACCTAGAACATCTCCTTGCTCAACAAGCTCAAAAGCAGCAGATGTTGGTTTCCACTTATGAGGCATACTTAAGAGGCAATGGCATGTCTGGACTAGATAATACAGTGCAGAGTGAGTGATGTAAAGAATGTCTTGTGGCATTTTATGTACTGCTTTTTTTTTTTATTGTTATTACTTTTCCCCTTTTTTCTTGGACTAGAGGGGACTGAATTACTTCATTAAAGAATTTGAGTGGGTGTATCTACCCCACTATCTTTTGAGAATATTTTGTCTTTTTTTTTTCTTTTACCTTCTCTTAAAAAAAAAAAATTATTCTATACTGCTTTTAATCTCTTAAAGTCTGAGGAGGAATCAATGCCAGTGTATGATGTGGCGGCTAAAAAGAAACGCCCCGCTGGTGCTTCGTCAAATGGAGCTTCAGAAGGCGAAGTGAATCAACATGAAACGAAAACCAAGAACAAACCACTGTCGAAAGAAAAGGATGAGGGAGTCCAGGAGAGTCCTGCGGTGGTGGAGTTCAGCGAGCCAGCGCAGTGGGTGGAGCGTATGGCGTTAACTTCCACGAGGTCGTTACCCGCCGATCTAAACGCCGATGATGATCCAAAGAGGGAGGAGGCCTTTATCCAGCAAGCGCTACTCTCCGTGGCGAGGGGCTTATCTCTACTGGAGGAGGCCAATGTGCCGTGGAAGCGCCCTGCCGATTACTACGCGGAGATGTATAAGAGCGATGTGCAGATGAACCGCATTGCGGAGGCCATGGAGAGCTCTAAAGCACGCATTGAGGCACGTGCCCACCGCCGAGCGATGAAGGATCAGAAGAAGTACGGAAAGGAAGTTCAGGCGGAGGTGCTGCGACAGCGGGCTAAGTACAAGAGGGACATGGGTGAGCGCATCACTGAGTGGCGCCGAAAGAGGAAGGGTAACGGTGAGTTGCGTGACATTCTCGATGATAATGAGAACGATAATAACACAGGAGGACGTGCAGCGCGGAAGGAAAGAGCACCACAGGCAAAGAACCTCCGCCCTGGTGGTGGTAGAAGTGCAGGAAAGCGGCGACCAGGGAAGAACGCACGCCGTAGACAATAAAAGAAAAGAGAAATCTGAGATTCTGTGAATGTTTGTATATGCGTGTGTGATAGGTGGGCGGCATCTCGCCGCATTTTCTGTGTCTTACTAAATGAAAAAAAAAAAAAATACCGATTAAGAAAGGCGAGAAAAAAATGGATAAAAACGCAGATACCTCTCCATTAGATGGTTATTATTATATATGTTTTCCCCCGTTTTTATGATTTCTTGTGTGTGTGCTCTTCTTTCACCCCTTTAAAAAAAAAAAAAAAACTTTTTATTATTGCATACCTTCTCTCTCATTGATATTTGAAGTTTTACTAAATTAAGGCACAATACAGAAAAACAACGAAAAAACAAAAACAAAAAACAAACAACAACATCAACAAGAGCAGCAAAAAGGAAAAGTGAAAACATCAGTGGTAGCAGTAGCAGCAGAAGTAAAAGCAGCAAAAGATGACGTCTCGGTGGCTTCCAGACTATGTTGTTCACCATGGAAAGGAACCCATGAGCTACAGTTCCACCAGGGGGAAACTATCCAATCCATACGACTTGGTTACAGAAGATGCAGTTATCGCTTTGTATGAACGGAAGAGCCGCACCCTGTCAGAAGTTGTCTGTGTCTGTAACAGGATTCCAAAGAAGTTCCGGGGATTTGAAGATGATATACCATCCGAATTTGTTCTAAAGTCTTCTTTGACACAATTGGGAGTAAATGCTGAAGATGTTGATATTAAGCTTGATAAGGATTCTTTTCGGGCTGAAATACATCTTAAACTTGTGGCACTCTCGCCCCTTGCTGTGCTACTTCTGGATTATGTTGGAGAAGGAGCTTATATTGGGAAACTCTTCGCAATTGAAGCAGTTCGTAAGGTACATAAAGTGGACTATATAAATCGTTTGCTGGATACATTAAATCAAGAGGGAGAACAATTACTTACCTATGGTAATACCTCAAAGCCAAACTGGGAACTAAAAATTATTGACGGACGTGTCGTTGCATTCCTACCTATATTGTTGGGAACTGTTACATACAGTGGTGAAATACACGGACTTCTCCCTACAATTGGATTGGCACTGAAAAAACGTACAAAATACAAGGATCTTCTTCGTCTTCATCAAGAATTTAATGATGATTACACCCGTGTTGCACCACCTAATGGTATCCTAATGGTTCGTGGCTATGCTATGCACCTTAGGACACTTTTTGGACGTGTGGTGGATGAGTTTCTTCCAAAAGGTTTAAAGTCAATGAGTTCTCGTGTTATTGAACCAGATTCGAGTTCTACACGTAAAATGCAGGATCGGACATTTGTTTTCTACGGGAATTCTACAGAAGAACTTACCCATGTTCCTATTGAGTTCTTTACTTTGGAATCATATCGTGAACACGTACCGTTTACATTACGCAAAACCCTTTCTCAGCGATGTGGATGTAAAGCTGATGTTCTCCGAGTTTTTCGAACAGCTCCAGAAGGTAATTTTTGTTGCTGTACATACATCAGTAAGGGTGGACAATTCAATGAATTAACTCCAGAAGATTGGGTTACAGCAGATCCAAAACCGTTGCCTTTCGTGGGTTATACTGATCCAGAAAAACAACAAGAACTTGCACAGCAAGCTGTATATCAAGAATGTGAATACGGTATTCTCTCTGCTATTGCAACAGGGGATATTACAAGTGATGGAGTTATACTAACTCGTTACTTTCCTTCTCCATGTCTGAAGTCACTTATTTTGTCTTGTTCTGTGGGTAAAAAGGTACGTGCAATATTTTTTACAAAACCTTCAAGACATCACGGTGATTTTTTCAGTCAAGATGACAGTGCACTCTTATGTGACTTGAACACATTTGGTATATCAGTTTTTTATGTTGATGAAAGACATGGAGATGTATTTCAATTCATAAGACGTCGTGATCGTGATTCTGGAGTATTTGTACCTTTGGAAAGAAGACAAGAATATCTAATTGCTACCTTCTTTGGTGTGTATGGTTCTAATTTGGTGGAGGGTGACTTTGAAGCTGAGCTAATGTACCTACTAAACGGTATCCAGCGTCTCAGAGCAAACTGTGATCACCCTATGCTAAATCCGAACAAAGCACTCGCACTTGTTACTGGAGGTGGTCCTGGTGCAATGGAAGTGGGAAATCGAGTGGCCAGATCACTTGGTATCTTGTCATGTGGTTTGTTTGTTGATTTTGGTTCGCTTTCGCAAAAACCTGGTGCGACTATAAATGAACAAAAGAAAAATCCATATGTTGAAGCCTTCATGACTTATCGTGCAAACAAGTTGGTGGAGCGTCAGTCAGATTTTAACTTGGATTTCCCCATATTTCTGACTGGAGGTATCGGCACGGACTTTGAGTATGCACTTGAGGAGGTCCGTCGTAAGGTTGGCTCTGTGGCACCAAATCCGGTCCTTCTTTTTGGTACAGAGAGTTATTACACGAACAAAATTACAAGGCGTTATCAGGAGAACCTTAAGAATGGAACCATTAAGGGATCAGAATGGATCTGTACCATTCCATGGCTTGTGAACTCAGGTAAGGAAGCGTTAGAAGTGTACAAACGATTCTTTAGTGGTCGACTTCCAGTAGGCCCAGGGCATCCCGCAAACGAAAGGGGCTTTGTAGTTGCATCGGAATATTTCGCAAGTAATCCAACATAAATGTGTTCTGAAAATGAGGGTTCCCCGTCGTCTAAATGGCAAATGTACGTTTTCTTTTGATTTTTTGTTTTTACAGAAAATATTAAGGGAGTTTTTGCAATGTTTTCTTTTTCCTGTTTTCACGATACCTGCTTTTTTTTTTTCTTGTTTTCTTTATCACCTGGGGGTAACGTAAAGGAAATGAAAAAAAAAAAATTTATTTTTCCGCTCTTTTTATTCTTTTTTTTTTTTTTTCTTTTGGTTTGATCATCTTTGTTGCAGGTAAGTGGCACCACGAATTCCTGCCTTGGCATTAATCATCTTGGTTTATTTTTTATTTATTTTTTATTTGTTTCCTTTTACTTGAATGCTACAAACAGATTCGTTCTCTTTGGCTTGTGTATTTATGCATTATTTGCGTAGGTAAATTGATTTCTGTTTTTCAAAGTATTCCCCTCCTTTTCTTAAATGTGGAGACTTCGTGGGTGGATTCTTATGGGTTTCCTCTCTGTGGTTCTCCTCATTGTTGTGGCTGTTCCGGCAGCGTACCAACAAAATGCGGACCGTCGACGCATTTTTGTGGCTGTAATGATACCTGTAGTGTGGGTGATTTATCTCACTGTGTTCTACTTGTGCCTGTACCGACCCCTGCGTCGCAGTATGGAACTGTATAAACAAGGATGTAGTCATAATGATGGGGAAGCCAACAGCCATGCGTATTTCTGGGTCAAGGAACAGAAAAAACTTAACGAAGCCCTTAAACACCTTCGGGTCGATACAGAGAACTTGACGCGCCTGACGAGTAGATGGGAGTCCAGTTCCCAAAATAATTGGATGTTAACGTCTTCCGCGGTTTATGAAGTTGCAGATGACCATTCTTTTGGAAGCCCGGATATTAGTCAGCCAAAATGATATATGATATGGGGTAAATTACCCATCAGTGAGTATATATTTGTATGTTTGTTTGTGCGTGTGTGTATGTGTGTACGTAAGTGTTCCAGTTGCTATCGTTTATTATTATTTTTTTTTTTTCTCCTCCTCTTAGTGGTTGACGTGGTAATGGTGATTGTGGTGATCTACAGCTAAATTTTTTTTTATTATTAGCTCAGCTCGTTTGGATCGGGGGTCGAATCTTTTTTTCTTTCTTTTCTTGATTGGGGTTTCAAGGTAAGAACAAAAATAAGGAAAGCAAAAAGAGAGAAAGTAACAACAACAACAACAACAACAACAACAACAACAACAACGTGAAACCGGCAAAAAAAGAAAAGAACGAAACAAACAAACAAACGAACAAACGAGAGAGAGAGAGAAAAGGGTATATATAAAAAACAACAACAATAACAGGAAAGGAAAAAATAGAAGAAGATCAAAGGAAAGTAAAAGGGCAAAAAAGGGAATGCACTTTTACATAGCGGTGCTATTGTTAGGCATTGCGGGTGTATTATGTACTGGTGCTATTCAGGCTCACGCCTTCGCCTTCGATCTGCCGGCCAATAAACACCGTTGTTTCGTAGAGGAGGTCCCTACGGATATGGATATGCGGGTGGCCTACGCTGCACTGCCGGGGTATGCGCAGTTTCTGGATGTCACGGTGACGGGTCCAGATGAAACTTTGGTATTTTCAGCTAATGCACAAGATCGTGGGGAATTTCATGAGTTTATTGTTGACGGTGGAGATTATACAATTTGTTTTCACTCGCGTCTGGCGCAAGGTGCAAAATTATCGGATGGAATGAAACGTACCATTAGTGTGGATATACGTGTTGGAGCTGAGATAAATGACTACGCTGAGTTAGCTACAAAGGAAAAACTTCGTCCTATCGAGGTGGAGTTACGTGTGCTGGAGGATACAGTTCGCTCCATTCACTCTGAGTACTTATATTTCAAGGAAAAAGAAGCGGAGATGCGCAATGCGAATGAGGCTATGACGTTTAAAGTCACCTTATTCACTGGATTTATCATCGTTATATTTGTTCTCTTCTCGGCTTGGGAGTTGCGACACCTGAAGTCATACTTCAGGAAGAAACGACTTATTGATTGAAAAGTGTTATATAGTAGACGTTGTGCGTGGCAAGTGAACATTGGGCTTTTGTTGAGGAGGGTATGAAAACATAGAGGAAATTGAACGCTATTTGTTTTCAATTCCCACCTTAACTATTCTACATCATTCTATGAAAAATAAAAAAGAGAAGAAAAGAGACGTTACTGAGAAAAAAAAATCAATACTTTTGCTATTTAAAAAGTTAATGCGTGTTGGTACTGCTGCGTGTTTTTTTTTTTGCTTTAGCATGCTCAATTCTTTACTGCATACCTGATATGTTTTTTTTTTTCTTTTCTCTTTTGCTCTCTTTGTCTTCTTTTTTTTTGTTTGATGTAGCTGAAGGAATCAAGAGGTATGAACTCTGCTTTACTGTGTACTTGATTGTATGTGTTTCTAAATGCATGATGTACCTCTACATAAGGAGAGGGGAGTATTTGAAAAGAATCTCCTTGATGGGGTGGTCACCGCATTTTTTATTTTATTTTATTTTGTGATTATGATTGTTATTATTATGACTATTATTATTGCCACCACCCATTTGCTCTCCTTCCCCCACTTTTTTTTTCTTTTCTTTTCCTCCATCCCTACAGACGTTCTTCGCTTGACTTAACGTCACAGCTAAGCACAAGAGTATACTGTAGCTAATACATTTTTTTTTTTTTTGTAAATACTTACTATTTTTTTTTTCATTTTCGTTTACCACCACCAGGAGAGGAGAACGAGTTTAATGGCCACACTGGCCGGCACAGAAACTGCCGCGCAGCTCGCAAAAATACACCGCATAGCAAAAGCACTCAGTGAAGTCTCAATTTCCTCTCGCGCCTTCTTTTCTCTTGATGATAGCAAACTGAACGTATCAGATGAGTCTCCTAATGACACTGTGGCTATTCTGGTAAGACTCGGAGAAAGTCTTGCTACATCTGCAGCGATGCTTGCTAACGCTGTTGAATCCCAATTGGCTGAATTCTTTAACTACATGAGAAGCAAAGAAGCTGCTTCTGTAGTAGGATTACTAGAGAAACGTAGTATTGTGCCGATGGATTTTAAACTAGTAAGTAAAGAAGAAAGAATGTCCTTCTCTATTTCTCCCACTGAAACACGTCCTAGTGCATTAGGTACGTCAATGGTTAGTCGGGTACCACAAAATGCACCTTTGGCACTTCTCCGTTACGACCAACGAGGAGCAGCCACAACACTGCAGACATGTCTTTATGTTATGATGGAATCGGTTCTTACGCGTATCAACGCCAGCCGCGCTGCTATATATCTTGGAAACGACACTGAAAGACCTTCAGTGCTGAGACGTGTAGCAGATATTCACGGTGATGACAAGTTACCCACTGAGGTCAGTTACGCGAATACCAGTACACTTATTACAGTTGTTCAAGACAGTTTAGCTGTAAACTTTGATACCACCCAAACGCCTGATAACAACACGTATGTAAAAAGAATTCACAGACGACCCTATGAGGGCTGTATACGTCACCCTTTGCGTGTTAGAAGTGGAGTTGTACTTCCTATTGGTAATTATGGATGTGTGCTAGTAGCTGACAAGCCTCTTGGAGTGCCACAAACGTTTACATCTTTTGATGAACACCATGTTTGGGCTTTGGCAACGTTATGCGAGGGTATGTTCTCACGGTACCCACGTAATCTTTTTGTAGAAATGTCATGGTCTCCTTCACTAAAACTTTTACGGCAAACTTCCATCATGCCATCTATATCAATAGCAGAAAAAAAAGAAAGGACAGCAAGAATAGGATCAAACTCGAGAACATCAGTACCCCTCCTAGAATCGCTTCCCTCCGTACCCAAACAATTAACAATGCTACGAGTAACGGGGGAAAAAATAGGGATCCTACAAGACACACAAGGATTACCACGAACACATTTAACCCACGACAGTCTATTTCAAGAAGCAGGTGCGTACATACGTAACATAGAAATGCTATGGAAAGAATCTCTTAGCGAAGTCAATGACCTTCGACTAACAATTCGTAAATGTATTGGTGAAATAGAAGAAAAAAAATCTAAAATCACGGCCCTTGAGGCGGAAGTGCGCCGCTTAAATGCTCGCAGCACTACCAGCAGAACCAGTACAACTGTCTTGTAAGAATTGGAACATGTACAATATCTCATTTCCTTCATTATTGTTTTTATTAATAAAAGTCTTGCAACCTCAAAAGAGAAACGAAAAAAAGAAAACAACAACAACAACAACTGGCAAGCTGGTTTCTCTTCTGAAGAAATGCTATTCTTCTGGGGTCACAGCCCTTACTTTTCATATATTTCCCGCAACGAATATTCTCTTTATTTTTCTTTTCCTCTTCTTCCCTTCTTTCTTCTCTCGGTTATTTTCTTTGTTTTCCTTCACAGGATCCTGCTCAACAGCATGCCATTCGTCAAGGTTGTAAAGAACAAGGCGTACTTCAAGCGCTTCCAAGTGAAGTACCGCCGTCGCCGTGAGGGCAAGACAGACTACCACGCACGTCGCCAGATGGTCTTGCAGGACAAGACCAAGTTCGGCACCCCCAAGTACCGTCTTGTGGTGCGCATCACCAACCGTGACGTCATTGCACAGATTGTTCACGCAAAGGTTGTTGGCGACGAGGTGGTGATGGCTGCGTACTCTCACGAGCTGCCCCTGTTCGGTATTGAACATGGCCTGACGAACTACGCTGCCGCTTACGCGACTGGCCTGCTGGTTGCGCGCCGTATGCTGACAAAGCTCGGTATCGCCGACAAGTTCGAGGGCACGAAGGAGGTGGACGGTACATACGCGGCTGTCCGCACGAAGAGCGACTCACAGGACGACGACGAGTCTCGCTTCCCCTTCAAGGCAATCCTCGATGTTGGTCTCGCACGTACGACAACTGGCGCCCGTGTGTTCGGTGTGCTGAAGGGTGCCGTCGACGGTGGTCTTGCTGTGCCTCATCGCCAGAACCGCTTCCCCGGTTACAACAAGGAGAAGGACTCGTTGAACGCTAAGATGCACCGCGATCGCATCTTTGGCAAGCACGTTGCTGAGTACCTGAAGCAGGTGCGCGAGGAGGCAAGCTCGAACCCTGATGAGAAGACAAACCAGTTCTGCAAGTACATTGCGGCGAAGGTTGCTCCTGATACGTTGGAGAGCATGTACAAGAAGGCACACGCCGCTATTCGTGCAGACCCAATGAAGAAGCGGGCAAAGAAGGAACGCAAGGAGGGCGTTGCGCCAAAGAAGTACAACACAGTGAAGAAGACTGGTGCCGAGAAGAAGGCCGCCGCCAAGGCGAAGATTGCTGCAGTGGTCGCGAGGATTCGTGGCCGTGCGTAAGCTCGCATAGCTGTTGGACAACTGGAACCCATATAGTTGTTTATTTTTTCTTTTCTTGTGAGGTAATTGTTAAAATAAAGTATTACCCTATCCCTGCTGTTTAGAGCGGGCAGCGTTGTGGCATGCCACTGTTTCTGCTTTATGCGTTTTCTTTTTTTTTCTATTTTCTGCCGTTTTCGCATATATTTCCCTCTTATCTCTCTCTCTCTCTTTTTTTTCTTTCTTGTTTATTATTACGTTTACATGTGCTGTGGATGTAGCACTCCAAGTGAGAATGCCATTCGTCAAGGTTGTAAAGAACAAGGCGTACTTCAAGCGCTTCCAAGTGAAGTACCGCCGTCGCCGTGAGGGCAAGACAGACTACCACGCACGTCGCCAGATGGTCTTGCAGGACAAGACCAAGTTCGGCACCCCCAAGTACCGTCTTGTGGTGCGCATCACCAACCGTGACGTCATTGCACAGATTGTTCACGCAAAGGTTGTTGGCGACGAGGTGGTGATGGCTGCGTACTCTCACGAGCTGCCCCTGTTCGGTATTGAACATGGCCTGACGAACTACGCTGCCGCTTACGCGACTGGCCTGCTGGTTGCGCGCCGTATGCTGACAAAGCTCGGTATCGCCGACAAGTTCGAGGGCACGAAGGAGGTGGACGGTACATACGCGGCTGTCCGCACGAAGAGCGACTCACAGGACGACGACGAGTCTCGCTTCCCCTTCAAGGCAATCCTCGATGTTGGTCTCGCACGTACGACAACTGGCGCCCGTGTGTTCGGTGTGCTGAAGGGTGCCGTCGACGGTGGTCTTGCTGTGCCTCATCGCCAGAACCGCTTCCCCGGTTACAACAAGGAGAAGGACTCGTTGAACGCTAAGATGCACCGCGATCGCATCTTTGGCAAGCACGTTGCTGAGTACCTGAAGCAGGTGCGCGAGGAGGCAAGCTCGAACCCTGATGAGAAGACAAACCAGTTCTGCAAGTACATTGCGGCGAAGGTTGCTCCTGATACGTTGGAGAGCATGTACAAGAAGGCACACGCCGCTATTCGTGCAGACCCAATGAAGAAGCGGGCAAAGAAGGAACGCAAGGAGGGCGTTGCGCCAAAGAAGTACAACACAGTGAAGAAGACTGGTGCCGAGAAGAAGGCCGCCGCCAAGGCGAAGATTGCTGCAGTGGTCGCAAGAATTCGTGGCCGCGCATAGTTATATAGCCTGTGTAGACATTCTTGGAGAAGCGATGATCATTTTTTCCTAGGTTTTTTATTTTTAAAGAGCTAATGTATTTTTTACTTGAAGGTTTTGTCTTTGATGCTCTCTGTTGTTTCTATTTTTTTGCAGTGTTGTGAAGTTGATATTCATTTCTTTTTCTTTGTTTTATTTTGTGTAAGAAGGGTTCCGCGAAGATGGGAGCGTTTATGTATTTGAATGAGCTCTGGAAGAAGAAGTCTTCCGATGTTATGCGCTTCATCCAGCGTGTGCGCTCATGGGAGTTCCGTCACCAACACACTATTGTGCGTCTGCGTCGCCCCACACGCCCTGAGAAGGCCCGCATGGTTGGCTACAAGACAAAGCAGGGATACACTGTGTTCCGCGTGCGTGTGCGCCGTGGTGGTCGCAAGCGCCCTGTGCACAAGGGTATCACCTACGGTAAGCCAAAGACCAGTGGTGTGTTGGGTATGAAGCTTAACAAGAACAACCGCGCCATTGCGGAGCAGCGTCTTGGCAAGAAGTACGGTAACCTGCGTGTGTTGAACTCCTACTGGGTGAATGCCGACTCTACCTTTCTCTGGTATGAGGTGGTTGCTGTGGACCCAATGCACCGTGCTATTCGCCGCGATCCACGCATCAACTGGATCGTGAACGCCGTGCACAAGCACCGCGAACAGCGTGGCCTCACATCAGCTGGCCGCAAGCACCGTGGTCTGCGCCACAAGGGCCACAAGGCATCGAAGCTGCGCCCATCGTACCGCGCTGCCTGGCGCCGCAACAACCGCATGGTGTTCCTCCGCAAGCGTTAAGGAATTTAGCTCATATTTCGCGTGGTCCTTTCCACTGTTTTCTTTATTCATTTCATTTTTATTCTAAAATCAATTTTTTTTTGGACCTTTTTTTGTCTTTTTGATTGTGGTTTTCTTGGTTTTTTTTTTTCTGTTTCTGCACTTCCACGTGACGTTTGGAAATGTGTCTGTTTTTTTTTTTTTTCTTTTCTCCTTTACAAACTATTAGCGACACTCTGACATGGCTCCAAAGGCAGAGGCTCCCGCACCGCGAACGGGCATTATTGCTGGCTTCAACAAGGGCCACAAGACCACCCGCCGCGCCCGCGCCCCGTCCTCCAACGACCGCTACGCTCTCCCGCACAAGAAGCTGCGCGCTGTGAAGGCAATCATCACTGATCTCGTCGGTCTGTCCCCCATGGAAAGGCGCGTTCAGGAGCTGCTGCGTGTTGGTAAGGATAAGCGCGCGCTCAAGTTCTGTAAGAAGCGCCTTGGTAACTTCAAGGCCGCTAAGAAGAGACGCGCCAAGATGGAGGAGGCCCTTCGCCACCAGACCAAGAAGAAGTGAGGTAACGACTGCAATTGTTTTCTTTCATTTCTTTAGTTATTCTTTTTTTTTTTGTGGTTTTTACCCTAGAGTTGGGCTACTTCTGCAGTAAGTTATCTATGTGTATGTGAGTTTTTCTGGTATACCGTTCTGCAGTAATGCTACTCTCTCTCTCTCTCTCTTTTTTTTTTTCTCTTTTTTTTCATTGTATAGCTCCAACGGAGGAAAAAAAAAATATGACACTTGACATATGGTTGATGAAATTATGAGGATATGGGTGTCGTTGCGTTTTTTCCTTTCACGGTTGTGTGACGTATGAAGGGTTGATTTCAGTATCCGTATAGGTGGTGATGTATATTTTTTGTATTTGTGTTTCTATCAAAAGAAGCACCACATGAGATTTTTTTCCAAGTAATGGGACAAAGACCGGGAAGCAGAACCTCCTTTAGTAGATTTGCTCGAGGCAGATAACGTTTGCTGTTTATTATTGAGTATGACGCTGTAGTACTGCGCGAAGGAATAATAACAACAAAAGTTCTTGCCATATGATGCTTTGCGAGTCTTGAAGGGATGAGATGCACCGTCGTGATTTGTCACCTCATCTGCGCTCAGTTCAATGTCAGTCCATTTGCAGTGTTTGAAATGGTATGTGCATCTATTTTCTTTATCGGGCCCCATGTGGGTGGTGTCTTTCTCTCTTTGTATGTGTATGCGTTTGATACAGAATCATTAATGGTGATAGTTGAACATATAACATAAGCAATTGCTCTTTTTTACGATTTTTCTCGAGTGGGATATTTGAGGCAAAAAAAGATACATGCTACACTGCTGGTTACAGTTACAATACAAAATTTCGCAAGCCGTTTTTCCTTTGTATGGGAATTTTCTTCTGTAGTCTTTAACGAGCCGCCGTCTGTGACATATTGTTCTTTAATAACTATAGTGGCTAATATAATTGATGCGTCGTGAACCCTCTTAAATTCCAGAAGGCGCTGGTAAATTTGAGACTGTTAGTAATAGTAGTGATAGTAGTAGTTCTACAAGGGAGATCGATACAAGTCCCAGTGATGTCTATGCCCACACGAGTATATATATTCTTCCCCTCCCTTCCCTCTCCCTCTTCTACTCATATACATACATTATATTAAGTTACATTTCATACATTTATATTACATACATACATGTACAATCGTACAAACAGACACACCAATTCCTCTCGCCTCTTTGCTCTCAGCTTGTGCAGGTAGATGGGATGTGAGTCATGTGAAGGGGGTGGTTGCCGTCATTGTTGCTGCACTCAGTGCGGCGCAACTGTAGAGAGCGGTAACATTAGGGTATTTCGGTGCACCCAGTGCCGTTCCCCAACACATGCAACTTGTGCCTCATTAGAGGACCAGCCCCTGTTTCCACAGTTCTTTTGCTCTACAATATGCCGCTTTGGTATTACATTAAACCGCAATTGTGCTTTTAATGTCCCTCTGAGTGCTCGCTTAGAGGTAAAATGCGATCAACTATGGCAAGAGATGTCTGCAACAGATGCGACTTCGTACTGCCGACTGCGTTGCCGAATGTGGGCGGAATATTTTGAGCGGGAGAAACACCTGCTGCCAATGGTGCCGCGACACTACGACTTCCCAAGTGATGTGCGCTTGCGGTTGGTTGAACTCCTCTCACCGGAGGGACAGGCGGATCTGCTCTGCACACTACACCCACTGGACCACCCCGTCGGCTCCGTAGTTGCACTTCCAGCTCAGCGCGTCTGGCAGACACCGCGGGTGCGGCCCGGCAGCAGCAGCAGTTATGTGGCGGAGGCCGCAGAGAAATTATGCCACAAACCCCAAGGAGTGGTAACACCACGACAGCGCAGTGGCACACCGCGCGTCGGGCAGAAACGAGGGAGAAGCTAGACACAGAGAAGGAAACTCTGCGAATGCCCAGGGTACAAGAAAAAGAAAGAAAATGTCGGGAGAAGAATGAACGATGTGTTATTTTTCTTATTCTTTTCATGTTTTTTTTTGTGTATATTGTGTGGCTTCTGCATATTTCATTTCTTTTTTTTTTTATTCTATGATTTTTTTTTTTCTTTTTATATGGCTTGAAAGGGCATCGCTTCATACAAAATGGAGTGTTGTGTGCACTCCCCTTGCGGCCGTTACATTGTCAGGTACAAGTGTGATGCAGAGTCTATGTGCATAGATGTGGTGCCAAAGGTGTCTGCCTTTGAGCCGTCCCCAAGTATTCACTACGTTGCCTTGTTGCGGGATAGTCACGTTGTGGAAATCACAACAGCGGCAGGCGTGCGAAAGGAGTTCTCTGGATTTGCCGATATGACATATAACGCCTTGATTGGTCGTTCCCCGTGTGTCAGATTCTTTATTGAAACCTGTGAAGAGATGAGGAGTCGTATAACAGCAGAAGTGGCGCAGCGTGGCCGTGGCCTTTCTGACAGTTACAATGATGACAGCGAAACCAGTCAGCTTTCTGAATCATCTCGCACACAACGTTTTTTTACTTTAGACTACGACGTGGATTTTACGCGGGCCGTATTCCCCGTACCTCTTGTGCACATGAAAGCAGAAGGGGATACAGCAACAACACCGTTGACTGCAGAAAATGGTGGGAACTCGCGGCACACAACTGGTGCCCATTATCATCATCATCATCGTCCTAGTCAAGATCAACCCCATTTACATGCACAGAAGGTAATGCTAGTGGAAGGTGGAACAATAAAGAAAGAGCCGGGATGTGACAGCGGCAAGGATGACGAGAACAACAGTAACAACAACTGTAGCAGTGACGACAGCAAAACCGTTATCGCGAGACTTCAGGCGGAGAATGAGAAACTCAAACGTGAAAACGAGGCACTAACACGTTTAAGTCGAGAGAAGATGTTGGAGATGCAGCGACTCTGCGAGGACTTTCAGCAACGTGTGGAAGGAGCGCGTGATGCGGAACGTCTGCAGAAGAAATTGACGGCTCTACGCGTGCGATTAAGACAAGCGGAAGAGGAACGCGACGAGGCACACGCAGCTTTTGCACGATTGAAACAGCGAACGTTACGTTCATCTCCGCAATGTGAAAGTAGTCGCCGTAGCGTCAGAACGCAGCGCCGATCTCGCTTCGACACCCCCTCACCTTCACACCACCACCGCCGTCAACGGGAGCGAGAACATGAAGAACCGAAACAACAACGACAACAGCAACCACAACCACCACAAAGTAATCGTCGTTCGGTCTCGCGTCGACTGGGCGATTCACCAGCACCGCGAGGACGCACCGGTGGGCGGCCGGAGTTGCGTGTGACGTCACGCGGTCGTTCTGCAAGCGGCAGCGGCATTGGAGGCGTTGCGAAGAAACGACTGTGGGCGGATGGGAACAGCAGCCGCTGCAGTAGCGTTGCAGGATCACGCTGCAGCTCACGCAATAGCTGCGAAAGACTGTACCGTACTCCCACTGTTAGTAGTCGTCAGCATGAGCGTAACACACCGCTTTACGTGCCTCGACACGCTGTGTTTAGATAGATATATAGATAGATGAAGAATAGAAAAAAAAGAAAGATGCAAGAAAAAAAAAAAAGAAAAAAAAAAAAGAAAAAAAAATGAAAGAAAACAAAACAAAACAGTGAAAAAATAGAATAAAGATGAGGGGAGAGCAGTAGGTGAAAACACATTGTTGGGTTCCTGCATTTTAGAAATACACGGGTTTAGATTTTTTTTTGTTTTTTCACTTGCTCTTGTCGTTGTTGTTATTGTAATCATTCTGTTTTGGCACCTTATTTTCTGTTTTTTTTTTTTTCTTTCATTTCTTCTATTCCCTCCATTACTCAATAAAGGGGAAATTCACTGATGTTCCTTTCTTCTGCTCCCTGAATGACAAGTTTCTTTTATGTTCATATATGCATATGCGTATATATACGTATGCTTTTTTTTTTGCAATTTCTACATTTTTTTCTTATTTCTTCTGCCTTTAATCCCCTACTATTGGAGGCCGTTCGGTAAAGGAAAGACAAAAGAAGTGGCATCTGGAAGATGCTGCGTGGGAGTTTTTCTCTGCGTGGTATTTACAAAATGCCAGGGCGTAAGTCACTCGACGAGATTTGTAAGTTGAATCTCTTGGAGGCTACCCCAGCGCCACAAGTAGCCACTATTTGGAATGAGCATCACAAACAGTTTGTACAGTATTGGGGTCGTGCTATATCGACAGACGCGTATAATGCGTTACAACCTCGTCTACAGAAATGCCCATATTTTGTGATTCCTGTATTTCGAACAAAAGGCCTTTTTAACGTTGTAACAAACTGGGATAGAGACCTTGTCGGTGTAGCGCCTCTGGGTGAATGGCAGCAAAAACAAGATAACGCCCAGATTGATATGACGATTCAGTTCTTCACAGAGTTGTCACGCACGAAGCGTCTTGTTTTAGTGCGGTGTGAGATTAAGGATAAAATATTTGTCCGTCAAGACTGTGTGTTCATTACACAGATGCTCCTTAAGTATTATACTATTCCACGTTTGTATGAAAATTGGGTAGAAGTGTTTAACAAGCGCCCACACCATTTTGATTATCACATGTACCTTCGAAACATGAAGGATGAGGCACATCGTGATGACATACGTATTGAAGATAAAAAAACGCAGATGAAACTCGATGCATACGGACCGGTGATTGACACTCCACCTGATGCGATTGCTCGGCAAATCCTCAGTAGTGTTGACACTAAGACTTAACATGGACTTCACATATGATATAAGTGGAAAAGGATTTTTTTTTTTTTTTTTTTTTTTTTTCTTGTTGTTCTTATTAGTGTTGCTGCGTCATGTCTTTTGTTTTCCACTTTCTTCTCTCTGGTAAAGAACCAGTGGAATATCCTTTTGATTGTCTGTTTTTTTTTTCTTTCCTTTTTTTTTTTGGTTCCTTTCTCCTTCTTACTTTTTATTTTGCTTATCGATCCTTTGTTTTTACCCAATTCCAAGGGATATCTTTTCTCTCTAAAGAAAAAAAGAAAGAAAATCATCGCAAATGACCGGTTCACTGCAGATTGAGAAGATTGTTCGTCCAATGCGCTCCATCGCGGTGTTCGGCTCCTCTACCACAGCGCGCAGTACCCCGGAGTGGGAACAGGCACGGCATATGGGTGCACTCGCGGCCCAGCACGGGTTCTCCGTCATCACTGGTGGTTATGGCGGCTCAATGGAGGCTGTTAGCCAAGGCGCCAGAGAGACTATACAACAACAAGGACAGAAGACGGATCTGCCACCTCAAGTGATTGGTGTAACAGCCTCAGTAGTGTTTCCACATCGTAACCCTCGAGGGAACAAGTACCTCACACGACAAATAGACGCCAGTAGTATCATGGAAAGAATTCAGCATGTCATATCCATGTCACGATACTTCGTTGTGTTGCCTGGATCATTAGGTTCATTGCAAGAGCTTATCTGCATATGGATATTGAGTTTGTTGCAGAGAGAAGGGATCCCCAAACCTGTCATTATCGCATTCCGTGACCCCTGGGAAAAGTGTATACTTGATGTGTGCCGTACGCTCAACGTTGCTGATACCACGTTGCAGCTGTTGCACTTTGTGAACTCAACGAAAGAGGCAATGCAGTTAATTTTGGAGGATACTATGAGTCACTCTTTCTTGTAAAGTAGTGCCTCACTTCTATTCGCGCATAAGTGAGAAAAAAGAAAAAAGGAGCTGATTTGCCAAATGAAACGCCTGAAAAATAGTTAAAGACATATACCTTTCTTTTTTTTTTTTTCTTTTGTCCCAGGACTTCCAGAAAAAGTCACTAAAAATGAGTGTCCACATGAAATATGTGTAGTGCGTACTATATATTAGTTGTATTTTTTTGTTTTCCTTTTAATAATTTATCCTGACTTTATCCATTCTCTTTTTTTTTCTCATTTTATCACCTTTATTTCTCTTTCTTTCTATTTCTCATAGGGACGCAAGACCGTCAGAATGAGTCTTGCTAGCGAGATTCAGCACCAGTACGGTGTGGAGCTCCCCTTTCTTAATTGCACGTTCGAAGAGGCCCGACGTGAGGCTCAACGGCGTGCGTTGTATCTTTTGGTTTATCTTCATTGCCCAACACACGAGAACACACACAATTTTGTGACTGATGTGCTCTCAAACCCGCAGCTACGTGAGGAATTTGAGTCCCGCTTTTTGCTCTTCGGCGCCTCTGTGCTGGAGGCGGCGGGTCACAAGTTGGAGATTGAGCTGCAGGCAACGACCTTTCCGTTTATAGCTGTAATTCTGAAGCGCAATACTGTACTGAAACTCAAAGGACTCTACACTGCGGAGGAGATCCTGCAGAACTTCCGCATGATGTTTGACCACTGGGACGGCACCCTCGCGCAGGAGATCAGCGTGCGGCAGGAACGCGAAGAGAAGGAGCGCACCCGCCGCGAGGAGGAGCGGCGCACACTTGAGATTGAATCCATAGATCGCGAGCGACTGCGGCAGTACGACGAACGTGAACGGCGACGACGTGAAATTGAGGCAGAACAGCAACGCAAGCGTGAAGCAATGGAAGAACAACAGCGCGAAGAAGAAAGGGCACGCGCGGAGCAGGAACGTAGAGAGATGGAGCAACGAGAACAGCAGCAGCGGGAAGAAGCGGAACGTCGCGCAAGGCGGGAACAATTGAAAGCCAAAGCGCAAACACGACTACCGGTAGAACCACCAGGTGATGCGGAGGCGTCAACTATTGCGGTTATAAGCCTCAAGTCATTGTGCGGAGTACAATATCAACGCCGTTTTTACCGTAGTGACCCGCTACAGAGCCTGTATGATTACGCGGTAACATTACAGGACTATGACGGCACTAATTTTCAGTTGGTGACAGGTTACCCACCATGTGCATTAGACCTTGATAAGAATTTGACATTTAATGATGTGCCGGCACTTCTCCCCCGTGCTGTCGTAATAATGCGTAGCATCTAGAAATGTTATTATCATTGATCATTTTTTCGAAGGTATATGGTTATTGTTACTAGTCATTTTTTCTTGCATTGACGATGTCGGTATTTTGCATGGTGATGAAAAAAGTAGAAAAGGGTCAAAAAAAAAAAAAAGAAAGAAAAAGGAGGGGATATTGTGTACGTGAGAAAAAGGGAAACTCATCCCTATGTGATATTATGGGGAATGAATTTTATTCATTGTTATTACGGCTGCTATTTTGTTTTTTGAACGTACACTTGTGTGCGAATGGGTCATTACTACCGGAGTACGAATAGTACTACTACAGTTACTACCATCATCCTCACCACCATCTCAATAGTTTCATGCTTCGAATGCATGGGAAGCTACCCTTTAAATAAAAAAAAAATTTTTTTTGTTGTTTCTTTGTATCTTTCTTTATTCTTTTTTTTTTCTTTATTGCATCTTTCCTCTTTTTTTTCTATCTTTTTTTTTTTTTTCTTTTGGGAATTCCACCTCAACCATCACAGCGTCTCTGAGTGGGTTGTTGCAACTATGGTGCGTTTTCAGCCCTGGTGCATGGCAGTGCAGACACGGTTCAAGTGGCGTCACAAAGAGACAGATCGATGGCGTCGTTTGATGGATGCAACGTGCATCCCAATTGATTGGCTCGGACAGACACGCGGGCCAAACTTTTCGCAATACAGCGGTCACTGGACACACTTGATTACGTGCGCCCATGTGATATGTCCATGGGATTACCCAAATTACTACCCAACAGAGGGACCAACGCGTTTCCTCTCACGTATTACATTAGCGGATACCATGACACAGGCACGCATAGTTTCTCTTCAGGGGAACGCAGTGTACAAACACTTCACATCTAACCAACACGTATACGTCCACTCTAATCCTAGACTTGACCTCTGCGTAGTACACCCTGAGCAGAACTTTAAGCGTAGTGGAGAGATGAAGATGTTGTGGATGCAAAATGAGGGCTACGTTGTGCGTCCGCGTCTGGAACTGGTAGAGCCATTGTCAGTAGGCGATCATGTGTGGATCTACGGTATGACTGCACATGAATCTCTGTTTGACGAAGAAAAGAGTCCTGAACCGCTCATGGTGCCGACGGGCATTCGTGCGAAGGTGCACACACTAACACGGGAACACTTTTTCCTCGACACAACAACAATTGAGGGATCTGATAAAGGTCGTATTGGAATGGGCATGTGCGGTTCTGTTATAATGCGCAATGGACGCTGTGTTGGTATGCTTACAGCAACAGTACATGAGGAGAGTAAATGTAAGGAACTCGCCGGTACTGCCATGTGTACATACGCTTCCGACATTTTTGATTTTCTTCTGGAGGTGGAACGGCAGATGAAGGAACCAACACCACGACTTTACCGTGAGGAGACGGTGTTCCAAAAGCGACGTTACGAAGATGGAACATATGAAACGCAACAACAACAAGAGCAAAAATTGGGAAAAGACTGGGAACTGGACCACACACGACTAGCGCGCCATATTCCTGTTCCGGTATCCATGTGGCATATGGAAGAGAAGTGGTTGACAGAAGAGGATTACATGACGAGTACTGTATTTGGCCGTAATGGGGCGTTTAACCAGGAAACACAAGAAAACATGCTTGGCTACGACATGAATTCGGCCAAATCGCATGGTGAACGTCCAGGCGATATCGAAGCTTTTTCCACAGCAACTCAGGACGGTAAACCTGGCATGCAAGGTGAAAGAAAGGACTACAGTCCAACAGGTATCTACGCCGATCATGAGGATTTTAAGACACGCGATGTATGGGACTACAATATTAGCTCCGAAATGCGTTCACTTTTTGACAATGCTGTAGATTCAAAAGATGCCTATAGCTTAAACATGATGCGTAAATCGCTAGATAATATTCGGGCACAGCGGGCAATGGATAAGATGAAAGAGACAGTGTTAAAAAACCCTGGCCGCTCTGATGACCCACTTAACGTTGGAGATATGGGCCGCTACGATGCCACCGGTCCCGCTGACTTTTGCCCTGATAGAGGTGCAGGAGCGGCAGCAGCTGAAACAGGATCAGGGATGAGAATGGGAACAAGGACAGAACGTGAAAAGGGCGATAAACACTCTGAAACACCGGCAGAAAGACGGCGACGGGAGGAGGCTTCTTATCACGAAGCATTGCGGCGGCGTCATGGGCAGAAGGCACGTCCATTCGGTGATGAAGATCTTAGCGGGTTGTGGGAACCACATTAGCGTTACTTGGAGGAAGAAAGAGAGTGAAATGGATGGGGAAGGGTGTAAACTAGCATACATAGAGGGGGGAGAAAGAGTGAGAGTGAGAGTGAGGAAAAAAAAAAAAAAAACGCATATGTTTCCCATTTACTGGTAAAACATGACTATCAGGATTTCTACTGCCATGGTTAGGCTTTTTCACTCTTTTATTTTATTGTTTCGTTCTGCATTCACACTCTCACTCGTTCTAAATATCTGACAATAATCGCACACATACACAAATGGCAACAATGTCTTATTTGTTTTTTTTTTGTTTATTTTTCTTTCTTTGTTGTTAATGTATCTTTCTTCATCTTTTCTGATAAATAACATGTGTTGATTTTTAAAAGGAAGACTCTGCGGGGCAGCCAGTGGAGACCAATGAATCCCAGCGCCCGGCCGTGGTACCCGCCAGGAGAAGCGGCAACTAGTGTGCACACCACAACGGTGCGTCGTCAGAACGACCCGTACCATTTCAGTGCTGTGCAACGACCACCAATGCCACTATGTGGTGATTCCGACCTCAGTAGTATCCGACTCGAATCGCTGACCCTTGAAGGGGCGGCAGTGGCAGCAGGCGTGATTCCTGCACCAGCTGCGGCAGTGGCACCAGCGCAGTGTAGTAGGAAGGGACCTTATCGCAGTAAACCGCTTTTGGAACAGACCGTCCCACTTTTTTATGAAACACGTAGGAACAAGCAGCACTGGATGATTGGAGGCTGGACGTCAGAGACAACACCCTTGCGGCTTAGCTCAGGAACCCCATCTTCACTTGAGTCGCAAGGTGACTCACAGGAAAATACCGCCACACATACAGAAGACATGTGCAACAATGCAGCACCAAAGATGTCGATTCCTCTTCCTCGTTCTCAACGTCTTGCCGAGTCGATCGCAAATGCCAGTTCGCTCGCTCCCAAGACTCCTGGGTCTGCTGGTAATATCACATTTACGACTACGAATACGACTAGTACTACTACTGCTACTACTGCTTCTACTATTAATTCGACGAAGACAAATACTACTAGAATTACTAATGCTGCAGCATCTTCTGCTTCTGCTGTTGTTGCTGCTGCTGCTAATACTTCTACTACTACTAATGTTGCTTCTTCTGGCAATATTACTACCACAACAATAACTACTACTACAGCTACTACATCTACTACAGCTACTGCTAATACTACTAGTAATAGTAGTATTAGTAGTACTACTACTAGTAGTACCACTACTAGAACTAATGATAGTGAAAATGACATTAAGAATAATGATAATAATAATGAGGCTGGTTGTGCCAATGGTCGTATGAATGAGGTTGCTTCTGGCAATGGTGAAAGTAATGACGAAATTGCGGCCGACGATGATGCTGATATGCGGAATGATGTAGACGAAGTTGGTTGCGAAGGCAACTGGCAGAGTGAAGCGAGGCATCTCTCAGCTTCTTCTTCTTTAGCCTCTGGAATTACTGCAGTGGCTAAAAAACAACGACCAAAGGCCAAACGTGAGGAAAAATGGACCATTGTACAAGGAAAAGGTAAAATAGAAGCTGCTAGCCCAATACCACAGCCGAAGAAAAGTACACAAGCAACGGTTGTTAAGGTTCGGGAAAATGGGGCCGTCATTCGCCTCCCCGACTTGCATCCTGTGGAGAAAACAAAGACCAAACAACAACAACAACAACAACAACAGCAGCAGCAGCAGCAACAACAACAACAGAAAGAATTTGAAAACAACGTCAAGGATGAGACAATTATTGAGGCAAAATCAAGGCGTCAACGAGAAGCCCGACGAAGCAAGGACACTAGTAAAGATGATGAATTGCTTGAGAGTCTGGTGAGTGGTGCGGTAGCTTCTGGTTCAGTTTTCGGGACTACTGGTGGTAGCAATAGTCTTACAACTGGTGTTGCTTCTGCGTCTGGTAGTGGTGAAGAGGTGACATCCTTTTCCATTATGGGTGTTCCCCTTGCCAGTGTTACACATGGTGAGCAACTCTTATTGCCTTCTCAAGTACCTACACGTCAGAAAAATGCATTGCGCATATTTCTTCGTTCCTTATCTATGTCAGAAACGTCAAATGCTAAGACTCTTCTCTTACAGAGAGCACTTCAGAGTCTACCGGAAAGTTGTTATCATCAATGTCCGTCATTGGTCTGTGCAATTCTCCTTGAAACCAGTGACAGTTGCGTGGATGTGGAAAAGAGCCTTCAGACATGTTACAGGGCGCTTCAGCTTGCGGAGAAGCACAAACTTGAAACATTTGAGATGTTGGCACGTCTTGCCATTACACGCACCTTTGCCCGTGTTATTGACACTATGGATGCACGAGCTAACCTGACGCAAGCAGCAACAATTGCCATCGCTAGAAACGAGAAGGCGGCTCTCGGATGGATTGCCATGCAGATGGGTGTCACACTTGAGATATCCGGTCAATTTCCCGAGTCTCTTGCTTGGTACGAGGCTGCAGAGCGGCTCGCTCGCGCCACAGGACAGCAACAGCTTCTTTGTGATGTGCACTGTTGTCAGAGTATTGCCTACTCTGCAGTAGGTGAGATGACGCGGGCGCAGCGGGCGTACGAGGCATCACGTGCAATTCTCCCACAACTTCCACGTCACCGACACCAGCGACCGTTACAGAACTATGCCCAGCTCAAGTGTCAATTGGGTGATATGGATGCCGCACTGCAGCTGCAGGAGATGGAACTCGAGATTGCAAAAGAGGCAGGTGATACACACGCCTTATCGCGTTGTATGGGGGCCATTGCATTGACGAAGCGCTTTCTCGGTCGCTACGATGAAGCAGCGGAGAACCACATGGAAGAAATGTGTGTGCATAATGCCCATGACCCACGACAATCGGTAGAGTCTCTTACTGGGGCAGCCGCCTGCTGGCGGATGGGTGGACACTTACAAAAAGCCCACGATTACTGCACACGCGCTTTGCGACAGGCACAACAATGTCAGGACTTAACAACACTCGCAAAGGCATTGGTGGAGTTGGCTGAAGCAGAGCTAAGTATGTCTCGTTTAGACCAGGCACAACAACACCTGAGTGAGGCTCTCGCAACTGTGGCACGCGTAGATGAAGCGGAACAGAAGCAATATTTGGTAAAGGCAGCTCTTTGCGAAGTGGAATGGCGTTGCTGTAGCATATTGGAGCAAGTGCATTTCCGCAAAGGTGAAGTGTTCGAGGCCTTGCAGTGCTCTGATAGATGCCATGTACCCAACACGGCTCATGTTGCCCGTCTACTGTTACGTCGTCAGCGTCGTACTGGTGCGTCTCAGGAGGTGAAAGATATGGAGCTTGTGAGCCGTAGCGCTATTGAACGACTGCTGCGACGACCGGAGATGTCCGGCTGGCGCATTGTGTGTTACTCACTCCCATGGAATGAGGGTTTGGAGTTCACGGCGTACGTTCTTTCACTTGACAAGGATGGAAACATGACTTGTGTGGGCCATCCGCTTCGTATGCGGGATGAGTTGGTGGCATTTATTTGTGGTCCCAACGCACTCTCGCGGATGCTTGACGCCCCCCTCTGTACAGAGACGGGTGAACGTATCTACGGCGATACCCCACTGTGGCCGCAGCTTTACTCGAAGGTGGCATTTGACTTTCAGCAGTCGTCTGAGAACGCGTCGCGGGTCTCATCACTTGCTGAGGAACCACTATACTGTCTGCGATTGCTGCATGACAGTTTTATTCAGCCACTTGAGGCAGATGTTGCGGGCGCATCGGGCATAATTTTTGTTGGCGATGGCGTGTTCAGCCGACTGCCATTTCACGCCTTCCATGATGGAGAACGTTACCTTGCAGAGCGTTGCTGCACCAGCACCTGCTGTTCTATGGCCCTTCTTTGCACGCACTTCGCGGAACACGAGGGGGATGAAAAAGAAAATAAGAATGCGGAGAATGTGCAGGAAGAGAGGGAAACACTACCGGTGCGGCGTTGTACAGTTGTGGATGATGCCAGAGGAGCCATGACACTGCTAGACCCCTGTCTCGCTACAGCAGCGGCTGAGGGAGTGTGTGTGCGGCGCGTGGTGATTGACGCGGATGTGGAAGAACTGCACAAGGAGACAACTGCGGAAGTAAAAGAAGAAGAGGTATCAGAAGGAGAAAAGGCGAAAACACAATCCAAGGAAAATAAAAACGATGATAAGGATGCAGAAGAATTATGCACAGATGCAGAAGTTGCAGCTACACAACAGTTACTAGGCAGTCTGCATCGTCGTGGCAAAGTGAAGGGCGTGCGCAATACTCTCTATCGCGCAGTGCATGAGGCGGCCGGCGGGGTACTTGAATTGCGACTACGTGCACTACCAGAGGTGAAGGAAGACTACTGTGGATCCTTTGTTGGAGCCTCAAGTGATGTTATTGCGAGTCACTCAAGTGAAGTGGCAAACACGTGGGATTTGCGCAGTTATCAGCTCGTTGTGTGCACAGGCGTTGGCACATACGGCGGGTTGTCCATACATGAGACAGGTATTCCAATGTACCGCTCACTCCAATACGCGGGGGCACGTCGCATGTTGTTGGCAACCGGCAGTCGTGTGCCTTTAAGTGATCGCATTGCAGTTGCTGCCACGACAGCTGCACTGAACGGCCGCAATACCGCCGCTGCCGTGCGGGCCGCACGTTTGCAGTGTATATCCGAGCAGGCACCGCTCTTTGATTGGGCGGGATTTTCTTTTGTGGGCCTGCCATTCTGATGATTTATATATATTTATACATGTATTGATAGCGTTATTCCTTGCAATAAATAAGTGATATTTAACAGAGAAAATACTCCGGTGAAGAAAGAAAGGGAGGTAGATGAGAATATTTGAGAACACTATTGATTCTCTTATGCAATTGTACGAAAACACTCATGTGGTAAAACAAAAAAAAAAAAAAAAAGAAATTATATTTTTATATATACATATATCAGGCAATATTTTGCATATTTCCACAGACACCCCACCCTTCTTTCCGTCATGATCTTGGTGTTTTGTGGAGGGTTTGGGAAATGCTTAACGAAACAAGACGGATGAAAATAACAACTACAAATAAAACGAATGAATGAATGAATGATTGATTGATTGATTGATTGATTGATTGAGAGACTAAAAAGAGACATCAATATCAGTGCACATACAGGGCGGGAGGAATATGATGGGGAGGTCAGGAAACAAAGAAACAGGAATCTAACTTATTATTATTAATTTATATTATTATTATTATTATTATTATTATTATTATTATTTGTGTCTGTGTGGTGTCTGCAAGGCACGCGCGTACGGATCTACACGGACGCACACACACTCACTCACTCACTCACTAACTCACTCACTCACTCACATTCACTCATATATATATATGTATACGTATATACATATTACTCATACACATGAAAAACGGTCTTCCACAAGGAGGAAGGAATAAAAAAAAAAAAAAAAAACAAAAAAAAAGGGCAAGGAAAGGAGAAAAAGAGGTACATACATATTATTATTATTTTTTTTTTTTGCATGTATGTACCTCTTGTAATATGCATAACACTTAAGTTTAGGCTTATGTGTATCAAAAAGGGTCTGCAAGCAGCTGAAATAAGTATGAAATACTCTTCGTTATGTATGTATGTAGGATGAATTCAAATTACATCCCCCTACAAAATTTTATTGTTTATTTGTTTGCATCGTTGTCTCTCTCTCTCTCTCTCTATATGCGTAGACTCCTGTAATAATGATGGATGCAAGGAGGGAGAGAACCCGTCTTCACATCCGGCAGGAAAGGATGGGCATAAAGGGAGGGAGGGGTGGGTGAGATGGGAGTGTTTTAAAAAGACGATAGTGGAAATAAACACATGAAAAAAGCAAAGGCAAGAAAAAAAAAAAAAGAAACGCAATAGAAGGAAAAGAAACTTGCTGTAAAATGATGCCAGAAGAAGAGAAATCAGAAAATACAATAAAATGAAAAAAAAGGAGAAAAAGAAGAACGAGTACACTAACAGAGTGACAAATGAGCATCATAGTCCCCTCTGTCCCTTCCCCTTTTTTGAGAAACCCACTGTTCCCTACTTATTTTTCCATGAATACATGCAGTGAGGATATTATATGTGTCTGTGTGTGAGGGAGAGAGAGAGAGAGAGAGAGAGAGGAGAGAGAGGAGAGAGAGAGAAAGAAAGAAACTGAAGGACGATCAAAGAGTGACAAGTGAGTGAATGTTATAATTACAACACAATATCAGCTCTAACATCGGCTGACGCAGGTCTCTCCCCTTCAATTACTTCCACTAATACCGTCCCCTTCATGTCACATGAGTTTTTTTCATCAAATTATTTTTGTTTATTTTGTTTGTTTTTCTTTTCTTAACAATATTATGAAGACTTAAAACGCATTATATTAATCTTTGTTCTTGGTTACTCATGGTACAAAGAGAAACACAAACACAAACACATATTTAAAAATGTTGCCGATCAAGATGTTTCCGATGTTAATAATATAAATGATAATATTACCAGGCAGTTGTTGCTTGGACTACTGTATATATGTATTTTCCATCTTTATCCTTTTAACCATTTCCTGTAATGGAGTATTTGATCGTCTCAACTTTTTTTTTTTCTCCTTAGTTCTTTCTTGCCCTTTTTTTCTCCAACCTTTTTTTATTATTGTGCAAGTAGAGACGATTTACTTACACCAAAGGTAGCAGAGATACCATGGCTCGTGCACGCGCAATCGAAACGCGCTTGGAGAAGTTGCTGCCCTCCCTTGAGGAATACTTCACGAGTGGCTTCCTAACCCGGGCGGAGACACAGGATGTCGCACGACAGCGAACACATTGGGAGTACCGTCTTGTTGCTAAACCGTTGTTGCTGTTGGATGTGCAGAATGCTGTGGCCTACGAGTTGGGTTTGGAGAGGCGGATAAGGGAGTATTGTATATCAACAAAACTGGTGTTGAGGCATCGTTGGGCTGTACTAGAACGTATTGAGTCTATCTACCGTATTGGAATAAAACACTTAAAGGATCCTGGTGAGTTGGAATTGTTGAGGAAAGAATATGTTCGGTTTTTGAAGGATCATGAGCGCCACACGAGTCTCTCTGCACTGTATGGTGAACTCATGGTGCGCCATCCAACACGCACAGACCTGTGGGTGGAGGCTGCACTTTATGAAGGTGTTGAGATGGGAAACACAGACAATGGTCGGGCAATTGTACAGCAAGCTATTCTTACAGCAGGAGCGCAACCAGAGGTCTGGAACGCAGCAGTTCTCTTGGAGCTGAACTTTGTTGATCGGATCTTATCTAAGTTGGTGGAGGAACAGTTACAGAAGGAGAGCGAAGACAGTGAGCACGACATTGTAGAAGAACTTCAGAGAGAAAACTCTGCGCTGGCTAGTGTAGTGGTAGATCTGGCTCTGGTTAAAGCAGTTGTAGAGGAGGCTCTTGAAGGTCCTGCCTGTGGTCCAAAATTGGTACAACAACTCTTGGAAAGCGCTACGCGATTCAGCTACACCAGACCTCTTGTGGAGTTTTTGATGGAAACTTCTGCATTAAAAATGGTCTCCGCGTTGAGTCCAGAAAACAAATGTACTACCGCATCCCGTAACTGGACAGATAACGGTGTGTTAAGATTCCTCCACGATTACTTGACTTTTGAGATGCGTATGGTAGAGCGTAAAGTGATTGGGGATGTTGCCTCGTATCTACGCTGTATGGGACGTATGAATATAGCCACTCCAGAAGACCGTAAAATGGCATCTCTAAAGGCGTTTATTGCCGCATTGACAGTCGCCCAAGCGGAGGTGGGGTCATCATCGCTACTACAACGGATGCGAGATGCGGCGGTGGAAGTGGTGGTCTTAACTCTGGAGTCTTTGCAGAAGTTTATCTCAGCGAGTGGCATTTCTGCTTTTTGTCGCCTTCTTCTTTCTGGGAAATGCGTTGCAGTTACTGAGGCGCTGCAGTGTTTGTGTGAGTGGAAAAAGGCATCACAAGAGCAGGAACAACAACGACGGTTGCTGCAGATAGCAGATACATCGGCTAAGCGAGTACAGTCCCTACTCGAGGCAGCTCGTGAGGTATCTGTCTCTGCAAAGAAGGCAAAACATGAGGACAAGGGAGTCACATGGCGGTTGTGGCGATTTCTTCTCCCAAGTGATCGCAAGGCGGTTGAAGCTTTTAATTCACAGGGGGATGCACACCTCGTGGATGACGGTGATGTGGAGCGACTACTGCACTCTCTACGCGATGTGAGGGATGAGGAAACGTTGAGGCATGCGGTGCTGCAGTTCCTGCAGGAGTTTCACCTTATAACTGCAGTGGAAAAACTTGAAGACGGACTTCAGCAATTGCGGTTCAGCAGCAGTGCAAAAACGCCCATTACCTTGTGGAAGATCTTCTCTCTGCTGGAGGAACGTTCCAAGATGATGAAGGCGACATCCCGTGCAATGTCATCAAATGGCGATAAGGGAGATACTGAGGACGACAGCTCCAGCGATGACGAATACGACAATAGTAACAAGAAAAACAATAAAAACAACGAAACGAATAAACATAAAAAGAAAGTGCTTGCTGCAGATGACGAGAGTTACGCCGTTACCGGACTGAGGTTTCTCGCAAGTGTGCCACGTGGGACGTTGGATCAAGCAGGGGAGGCGGAGCGTCTTGACGGTTGTTGGGGACTTGTCTCTGGGCGAGTGCGCACACTGACGGGACTACACTCTACATCCCGCGATGATTTCATTGCCTATTTACAGCGAAGCACAGACAAATCGTGGGTGGAGGGCGTTCGTTCTCTTCTGCGTGTGGCCCGTCTTTGCGAGCCACTCCCCCGTCAGGTGCATACTGACATCTCCATCCCGTTCTTTGAGTCGCTAGCGCTAGTGCAGAGTGGTGTTGGAGCCTCTGCCGCTATACGGGAGGCACGAGATGCTCACGAGTATTTGCTTGCAATGTACCACGCAGCACCGAAGGCAATAGGGGAATTTCTCCCGCTTGTACTCCACGTGCCGAGGCGCGAGGGTATCAAGATGCGTAAGTCTCCTGGGGAATTAAACGCGGCAGATTGGGCGCGGCTTGTGGCATTTGAGCGTGGAGTGGCAAAAGATTTGTTCCGCGCGAAGGAGACAGCAGCGAGGGCTCAGAGGACAACATTGGCGCCTCAGCAACTCCTTTCCATGCTTAACGCATGCTAAAAAAAAAAAAAAGAACGAGAAAGGAAAAGGGAAATGAAAAGGAAAGTGAGCATCTTGCAAGTAAGTAAAGAGTAAAACAAATATATATATATATATATATATATATATACCAAAACAAAAAAAAAAAAGAAAAAAAAATGATGCACACATGTGTAGTGTTGAGGAGGGTAGGGGCTGCTGTCTGTAGTAAGTGCACTCCTCTCCTATTTTATCTTTTCGTTTTTTTCTTCTTTTTTCCTTCTGGCGACATCCCTGACAATGTCTCATATTTCTTTTCTTGCTTTCTCTATTGGTTTCCTTCTTTGTTTATGATTTTCTTTCACTCTCTGTGTGTGTGTCTACCATCTATACGGGATGAATTAGTTTGGTGCCCATCGTGGAGACTGTATGTTCTCCCGTGGCAGTCTCCGGGCGGCGCGAAGCCCTATTCATCGCTTCGAGCGCCGCATATTTCGCGGGACGCCCACCATCTCTCGTAGCACAGCCTCATTCTCACAACTGTCAAGAGAATCAACAAGATCAACAACTACAAATACAATTCCAACAACAGTAGCTTCATTATCATCATCATCATCATCATTGCTGGAGGCTTCATTGGTGCGTGGCGACCCACATTCCATCGTTGCAGCTTTTTTACAAGCTGAACACCGTGCTGAGCACGGCACGCTACGGCGTGTTCTTTCGTGCAGTGCGTCAAGAGATATTCTTCTTTGTGCGTGCGCTGCCATGGTGACTCCTGTGGCTTCGTGGCCAATGTTTCTTACAATGCGACTAAAGATACCACGTGAGGGCAAAGATGCAGCGTTAATGTCCTCTTCATGGAGGACGTTTTTCTTGGCTGTTGTCAAAAGTATTTTGACTTCTCTTGATCCCAGTACTGGTATAACGAAGAGTAAATCTGTTCCTAATGAATATGGTTCTGCCTCAATTGGACTTTTGTGTGCCACATGTCTAGCACCAACCCTGAAGATTGGTGAAAGATTCGCCCGGGCATCGTGCGAGGGAGGAAATGAGACATTATCCACATCATCAAAAGCAGCTACTGCAGCCGCTATGGCTTACGCAGCCTGCTGTTCAGTGGTTACATCAGATACGCAGGACGCGGACACCGCTTGGCTTCGACTGTGGACAACCATGAAGTTTGTGCCGGATAATGTGCTGGACCTTGGGTATATTAGATGTCAAGAACTGCAGATTTGCTGCCTTCTCCGCTCTGAAAAGTACAATGAAATAGAAGATTTACTTCTACAAAGTATTGCTACATATGCTCTGGAGCGCATGACAGACGTAACTCTTGCTAAACTTTTTCTATTAGATTCGCTAGGTTCGGTTGCACGTTGCCGTGTCCTTGCGGCCCTTCTTGAGGTTACAAAAGGGAAATACAGGGTAATGGAAATGGGAGTGGCTCTTCGCCTTTCTCCCTTTGAGCGGGGACGCAACTTGCCCAGTGTTACCAGAAGTAGTATTCTTTTTGCCAAAGTACTACGATGCTTGGTAGCGCAGGCACATGACGAACCATCGATAGCTAATTCTCTTCGTGTGCTACGAGATATTGAAGGACTTTCTCGTCTCTCTAATTCGTACGCGCTTGCAGATTCACTGGTTCCACATGACGCTACTCTCGAATCCATTATGACGGCATCAATGAATAAACAACGCGCTCGACTGGTGGCTACATTAGTGGAGTCTGTTAGTGAAGTAACAGACTTGGCGTGTGCTGTTTTCCGTCGTGTTACTTCTACTTGTACTGTTGCTGCTTCCTCCACCAATGATGATAATGTAGATAGGGAGTCTGTGGAAGCGGCGTTGCAGGGGTGTGTGGGTGTACTTACAGGACTTTTCACGCTTTGTGCAGGCCGACGCGGAGAGCTTCCAAAGCGGCGAGCGGAACCGGAGTGGAGACAACGTTTGCAGCGTGCTACAGCCGTTCGTTCTCACAAGTACGAATTGCTCTGCGCCGAATTGCCGCACGCACAGCTCAGTCGATGTCTCGCCACACTGCTCGCCAACGGCCATTTGCTTGTGGGTGGTGGACTTGGTTACCGCCTGGTTACATCCGACTTTGTTGACTTGAACTTTTATTCCCTAGGTCTCCTTGGCTTGCTCTACCATGCAACACGAGTGGGACAGCAGCAGCAACAGCAAATGGATGCTTCGGCGGTAATTCAGTCTTTGTACCAAAGACGCCGAGAGGTTTTTGGCGAGGATGTTGCTGCGCCGGTACTGAATATATGTGCTGCTGCGGGGGTCAATACTACACTGAGGGTGTGCGAAACGGCTCTGGTGCAGTACGAGTCTGACGCACCGAGTATCAGTCTTCTTCATGCACGATCCGCTGTAGCGTCTGGTGGAAGCGTTGTTGTTGATGATAGCTTTGGTGTGTGGTTGCGAAAAGCCACTTTGACACTCTCACAGTAAAGTAAAGTATCTTTAATTACTTGCTGCTTCTGTGATTGTATGTGTGATTTGATTTCGTTTTGTGTTGTATTTTTCCGGTTGTTTTCTTTTTCTTTTTTTCTTTTTTTTTTCTTGGTAGTCCTGTATTGCGAAGTTTTGTGGCTACTCTTTTTTGCTGTTACTAGCTACTTTTACCTTAGTGAAGGGCGATAATGTTTTATTTGTCTGTTTATTTACCTTTTTTATTGGTTTTCTTACGTACTCTTTATTTCCTTCTTTTTTCTTTTTTCTTCTTTCTTTTCTTTTTTCTTTTTCCATTTCCTATTGGTGTTCCTGCTGCAGCGACTCCACGAGCCAACATGAAGCTTAACATCGCCTACCCCCGCAACGGAACGGTGAAGCAGTTCGAGGTGACGGACGAGGTTCTGCGCCGCATTACCCTCACGGACTACCGTCTCGGCAATGAGGTGGACGGCGCCATCTTTGGCGAGCCCTTCCAGGGCTACACCTTCAAGCTGCAGGGCGGCTCTGACAAGGAGGGATTCCCAATGGTGCAGGGTGTGATGGTCCCCCGCCGTGTGCCGCTTCTCGTGAAGCGTGGCGCCGTTGGTTTCAACTCGTTCCGCGGGTACCAGGGCGAGCGCCGCCGTAAGTCCGTGCGTGGGTGCATCCTCGCCAACGACATCGCCGTGCTGAACATTATTGTCGTGAAGGTTGGACCACAGCCGATTGAGGGTGTCACCGACGTGTCAATCCCCCGCCGTCTCGGACCAAAGCGCGCGAATAACATCCGCAAGCTCTTCAATCTCTCACGCGAGGATGATGTGCGCAAGTACGTTATCCGCCGCAAGGTGACGAAGGAGGGCAAGAAGGACCGCTTCAAGGCACCGAAGATCCAGCGTCTCATCACGAGTGCAGTGCGGGCACGTCGCGCCAAGAAGTCAAAGATCGCCATTGAGAAGGTCCGCAAGTCCGCTGAGGAGCGCCGTGATTACCTGCGCCTCGTTGGTGCCCGCCGCCGCGCCGCTCGTCAGCGCAAGGCCGCCGTTCACCACACCCACAAGGTGCAAATGCAGAAGCAGGAAGTGGCCGTGTTCAAGGCTAAGAAGTAAGCACCAGGAGCGCGCTTATTGTTTTCTTCTTTTTTCCTTATTTCCTTTGCTATAAAATGAAATAAAAACAATACACAGGGAAAAGGGAAGGGGGAAAGAGGTCTTGGGTAACGGTCCATTAACGGGACCTGTTCCTTCCTCCCCTCCTTTTTTTTCTAATACCTCGATTTCTGAGTTTATGTATATTTCTAAACAACAAGAACAACTGATGCTGTTTTTTTTTTTTTTTTTCTTTTTTCCTTCTTCCTCTCTTTCTTTTTTTCTTTTCCATTACATTTGTGGTAAGGTGGGAACAAAGGGGCATATCATGTCTCGCCGGTTGTTTGTGCGCAACATGAATGGCGAAATTTCGTCAACATGGCGCGGTGGAGGCTCTGAGGCAAATACGATGGGCGTCAATATCGCTACGTTCGGCGCTACTGGTATTTTAGGCATGCACATCCATCACCTCTGCTGTTACCATGGGTTCACTAGCATTTTACCATTTCGATTTCGCGCAGGTCTTGCAAGTGGTGTACGTACTCTTCGTATGGCCGGTGACGGAACTGTTGGTCAAAATTTTGATACTGACTATGAAATTGATAAAGAGTTTGTAGTAAAATCTATATTAGAAAAGGTAGATAACGTTATAAATGTTGTAGGAGCTTGGCAGGAACCTACAGTATATGAAAATAGCCAATCATGGTTCTCAATGGAAGCAGTCAACGTAGAGTGGCCACGCATGTTAGCGCGGTGGTGTCGAGAAATGGGTATTCTTCGCCTAACCCATATGTCTATGGTGGGTGCGGATCTTAACAGCCCATCGAAGTTACTGAGACAAAAACGTGAAGCAGAACTTGCAGTTCTTGAGGAGTTTCCTACTGCTACTATTATTAGGGGAACAGACATTTTTGCTGAGAACGACTTTAGCTACTCCAAATACTTGAAGGCACAACGTTACTTAAAAATTGTTCCAGTGCCAAACCATGGTAGACGTATTCATCAGCCTGTATTCGCTGGTGACCTGGCGGAAGCTGCATGTCGCTCAATTCTACTGGATCACACTGAGGGACGTATCGCTGAACTTGGTGGACCAGTGCGTTTTACAACAAACGACTTGTTGCGCTGGTGTTCAGAGTGTAATGGGCAGCTACACCTCACGTGGCACATGCCTACATGGATGTGGCGTATCGGATGCACACTAAATGAGCGACTTCCAATTCATCAGGGTTTTGCTTTGGGTACGCGTCCACCGGCTTGGAACAAAGATTGGCTTGACCGACAATTTGTTGACAATTGCGCCACTCCAGAGCGTGATCCAGAGATGTTAGACTGGGAGGATTTTGGTATTCCACGTGAGGATCTGTACAGGATGGAGGAAAAGTATTTTATCACATCAGTGATGTGGTCAAAGGACGCGCCATACTTGGATTTCGGTACACGTATGTAGTTCAAGTTTATTTGTTATGTGATTTTTATTTTTTTTATTAGTAGGGGTATCAAGTTTTTTTATTTTATTTTATTTTTTCTTGTGTCTCCACCTCTCTCTTTGTGAGTATGCGTGTGGGGAGGGGTTTGGTGGGTGTTGGACATGGAGGTGGTGGGTGAGTGTAGAGTAGTTGCTGGGATGGGGGAAAATAAGGAAAGGGATGATAGGGACAAAGGGTCGTGTGTGCGTGTATGTGTATGTGTGTTTGTATCTTCCTCTCTTGGCATGCATGCGCATCTGCATATATGTATGAATTTGAGTTATTGATATTACTCAAGAGTAGAATTAGGCTTTTTATTTGCTTCTAGTCGTTCTTGGAGGAATGGATTCCTCTGCAAAGTTATTTCGTATGATAATGCATCCCCTGGATGTTGTATGAGAAGAGGTGTGTGCTTTTTCCTTGCACTTTCCGGAAGCATCTTTTTAACTGCGCTTTTCTTGATTTCTCTTTTGTTTTTATTTTTGATCCTTTTTCATTTGATGAGTACATGTATTGTCTTTTTTTTTTCTATCTTTCTCTCTTTCATATATACATATATGCGTATATATGTTTCTTTCTGTGTGCTTGAATCTGTATCATGTTGGTTTTTTTATTACTGAGAAGGGAAAATATATGCGGTACGCGGTAGAATCATACAGATTGAGTTGCACTCATTTGAGTTCAGAGGATCTGCGTTTTCTGCGGGATAGTTTTATCCGACTCGACACAGATGGGGATGGACTCGTAGGGTTACAAGATCTCCACTCAATATTCGGTGAAGAAATACTGGGAATGTGTGTAGAGAGTGATATGACATTTGATTTGGAATCGTATCTTCAGCACTTTTCAAAGTACATTGATGCAGTGAAGCGGCTGGTGACTCCGGTACGTATCGAGTTGTCAGATGATGAAATACTGCTGCTTGAGTCATCATTTGAAAACATAGATTTAAATAATGATGGTTTCATTGATGAAGAGGAACTCTGCAATGCACTTATGGAATGCCTGGGTGATTGCGGTGATGGTACTTCCACTTTGTGGCTTACGGGAGTTATTATGTCACAGGCTGACCGTGATGCCGATGGAAGAATTTCTTTTTCAGAGTTCATCCTCGCACTACAAGAGGACAATGGCGTATTTCCGCAGCAACTCATTACTCTTCCATTGAGTTACCGTGAGACGCGAAGTCAACTGAAGGTTTCCAAAAATGGTAGTAGTAATGCTGCGATGATACCGTTCCACCAATGCTTCTCGCCATATGAAGTGTTTCTGATGCTGTGTGCTATAGATGTAATGGCAAGCGAAAACCCAATAGTGAGTGTCAGACAATTTTCTGCTCTTCTTTTAGAGGAGTTTCAAAGATCATGTGATCTTCTTCATTATACACTGAAAGAGTTGGTGTTACATCTCTCTCGAAGGTCACTTCTATTGGCTCCATACATTTTCTCTATAGGCAGTATAGATTGCAAAAGGTTTTCTGAGATAGTTGTGGCGGATCCCAACAAGATGCTGTTAACTGTGCCCTCTATTCTTTGCCGTTTGGAATCTTCAATGCGTTCTCTAACAAATTTTCCATATGATGTTGGTCAACGTCTTATTTTACTTCTTTTAGAACTTAACCCGGAATGCGTTGAAGTATGGCAACTTGAAGAACTACCTCAACGATTAAAAAATGTTTTTCCTGAATTAAATGAAACAGAATTGTGGACCATAATTAGGAGTTGTACTACAGCTGCAGAAGTAGCATATAATCAGGGCTTTTCTTTGCAACGGTTAGTACGCCGACTCACTATTCGGTACTCTATATTGCCACGTGATTACACAGGGAAGACTTGGCGACGTTTGGGTCCATTAGAGCGAAGCCAAATACGCTCCAATCTGCTTCATACAGACATAGAGAGTTGGTATAGCATGACCTCTGAAGAAGTCCGTGAGTTAATAATGAGAGATTTACTCAAATCAGATGTCTTTTGGGACCAGGAACATGTGGCTTTGCTTGTGGCATCCTGCGTAGAATCAATGGTGTTTTCGCAGAAGTTATCTCCCAATGAGTTGCGTGTAATAATGGCGCAGGAGATGTGGCCACCCTCGGGTAACATGATGGATGAACCCTCTAGAATGAAAATTGCAACTAAAATGACAGAGTTAAACCTAGGATGTGAGGGATTGCATGTAGTCCGAAATACCATCTGCCAACTAGATACCTTTGGCACCGGTATAATTGATGAAGAATTATTATTACCAACTCTTTACAATGTTATAAAAGAATTAAAATCTCAATGGGAAAATGTACAGATCGATAGAGCAGTCTGTGACGCTGTCTTGGCTTGTGAGGCCATGGAGGATGGTCAGTCTGTGAATTGCAGTGAACTCTTAAAATATTTGTTACCGAATTAATTTTCCAAGTCTTTCCTTGTTGTGTTTCTCTTGTGGAATGAAGACAAGGAAGACAATTTTTTTTTTTTTTTTGTTTAATTCTGTTCTGTTTGTTTTTGTCCTGTAGGTTTCTTCTATACATACAGGGTTTTACATATTAGACTAGATCATCACCATTTGCCTACTGACTGACACCAGTCTTTGGTTTTGGAGGACCTTCTTTCCCCCTCTTTGTTTTTTCTGTATTACTATTATTATTATTATTATTATTATTATTATTATTATTCACCCTAGAGATGCATGGGTATATGTATCTTTTCCTCTCTCTCTCTTTGACGCAACATTTTGGAGAGTGGAGGACTGGTGATACTCCAGAAATGACAGTCATTGAAATCAAAGATCCTCATTGTGTATCCCTCTCTTTTTTTTTTTTGCTTCATGCTTTCTTATTATTATCTACTCACCTAAATACGCATTCACGTTTTTTTTTTTTTCTTCTTGCTTCTCTTCTTTCATCTTTGTTGCATATATATATATATATGCAGGTTTCTAATCGTGAATCAACAACACAAATGTCTTCATGCAAGGGGAACCCAACGCCTTTAAGCGCGCCCATATTGTGCCAAGTTCGAACCGGTGTGGCAACTGGCAGTCAACTGGTGGGCACTGTGCTTGTCTCCCTCGACAAGACACTGCACGATGTGCGGACATTGTTGTGTGCACTAGCCGCGGGAGAACGCACAGAAAGGCAAGAGAATGAAAACCCAGAAGATAAGAACGAAGTAAATAAGGTGACGAAAGACGAGGCAGAACTGCCGGTCAACGTAACACCAGAGGAACTAGGGCGTCTTCGGCAGTTTCCGCTGCACCCGTTTGATTATAAAGCGCCATTCACGTTCGTGCGGGGCGGCAGTGCCCGATTCATTTCTCGACAGCGCGAGAAGTCCGTTCGGCTCATTGACGTTATGCCACGTGTCCCTTTGGTGTTTCGTGGTAAATGTGCGTGGTCGTTGGAGCCGCCACCGCCGATTGTGCAAGTACGAGAGGGAGGCAATGGTGATAGTGATGGTGATCGTGTTAGTATTCGTAAAGCCCTCGCTGTGGTGTTTGTGGCGCATGGAAGTCCCGGTGCTTTGTTGCCAGAGCCGGTGTTGGTGGAACGGCACATGATGCAGCAGGCGGTATATGGACGCCCGTACAAGTTAAACGATCTTACAACTTTGGTTAATCAGTGGAATGTGAACGTAAAGGATTGTTTTGGACGCACTGTACTACATGAATGTGTCTACCTGGGTGCAATGGAGGCGGTAGCGTATTTGCTTAAACTCCCCTTTGTAAGGGTAAATGAACAAGATTGGCAGGGTAAAACACCTTTGCATCTTGCAGTAAGAGGTGAAAATAAGACCATTGTGTCCTATTTATTAGATGCTGGAGCAGATATTCTCATTGCTGATAATGCTGGGAATACAGTGCTTCATGTTGCTCTCTGTCGTCGTAATGACGATATTGTTGAATTATTATGTAGGCGACTTCGTACCAAGGGTGTTGCAGTTGATAAACTGAATCTCTGCAAAAACAACTTGGGTTTATCTCCTATTGACATATTTCAACTTTACTCACCGACCTTTCACCAATTGTGTAGGGAGGGGGACATTGGTTCTATTAAATTTCTTTGCAAACATTATTTATTTCAACGTGATTTAATATTTCAGTGCGATGAACTTGTGCAGCAATCTGCTCTACATGTTAGTGCTGCTGTTGGAGACGTGGCCATCCTTAAATTACTGCTAGACGATATGGAACTAAAAAAAAAAGGAAATAGTGTGATGATAAATAGTCGTTGGCAAACACCTTTGCACATAGCAGCAGAAAAGGGAAATCTTGAAGCAGTTAAATTTCTTCTTGAAAGGTACCCAAAATGGCTCTCAATGAGGGATATAACTGGTGCCACACCACTTGTAGCCGCGTTGACGAGGAAACCTCATTTACACGTGGTGGATTATCTCTTATCATCATCACCCCGGGGAACACTCGCACCAAATATTTGCAATAACAGTGGAATGGGTGCATTACATTTACTATGTGAATATGGTATGACAGGTGCCGCCAATTCCCTCATTGTTAACCATGGTGCTGATGTTGCATTATCGCAGAGTAGTTACCAGACGACACCAAAGTACCTCACAATAACGCGTGAAGTGCCAAGGCTATCAAAATTGAAGGAAAAAATATTAAGTCGAAAAGAAAAAGTGTTGACTCAACAGGATGTAACACCGCTGCTTTGCGCTATCCGTGCAAGGGTCAGCCGTGTGGACACTATTGAGATGCTTTTATCCTGTGGAGCGGGAGGAACGGAATATGAAGTTATTGAACTTCTCTTTTTTTTGCTTACAAAGGAACACTACAAATTGGCGGAACAAGTGGTTTGGGCAGGTTTGGCAAACTCAATACATCACAACGAGCTTATTAATCGTTTCTGTCGCATGAAACATGATGTTGGTATTCGATGGTGCACCGAACAGGGCTGCTGTAACCTGAACTCCCCTGAGGGTGGTGGCTACCCGCTGTCGGTGAGTGCAGCTGTGGGTGATGTCAGGGCTGTAAACTACCTTCTCACGCATGGGGCGGATCCAAATGCCCCTACAGAGGAAAGTCCGCCTCTTCTTCTTGCTATCAACGCTGGACACGAAGCTGTGGTAGAGCAACTTGTGAAGGCAGGAGCTAAACTCACATCTTCTGACGCATCATGGAGTGCACTGTCTGCTGCCGCCGAGCGGGGAGCCGTGTCGGTAGTGCGTGCTATACTGGGTTTGCAATTGCTACCATCAAATGAGGTGTTTACGGCCTTATTACGTGCTATGAAGAAAAACGTTAAGGAGAGAAACCGTGTGGTTCGTGAACAGATATGCGTTCATCTTGCGCAATACTTTGATCCTAATGTGAGTGGAAACATTCATTCAACCGAACTTCTTCACCTTGCGGCGAGTCGTTCCTTCTTTGAGGTGGTTTGGGTTCTTGCAAAAAGGTTTCTCACATTACCGACTTCAACGCTCCAGATGGTATTGAATGACGCCCCACCACCTCCAAAAAGGAAGTATATTATTGTAGAACCAACAACAACTCAGTCCAAAAAGTCTTCAAAATTCAGGGTTAAGAACGTGTGGCAACGTTTATATGTTGTACCAAAACCTTTCAGACGGATACAGCTTCAGAAACTAGATAAAGACATGTTATACCATCGCCTGTATATGCGTGATGTATTCAGCTACTGTGCGGCGGCCAAACAATACGCACTTTTAGAGTACTTGCTCTTTGATCTTGGAATGAAGCCATGGTCAGGACCGGATTATCGTGGTTGGAACGCAGCTGACTATGCAGTTACTGTGCAACAGTACGAAGTTGTGAGAATGTTTCTTGTTATTGGTTTGACTCCTCTTCGTCGCCATAATATTCGTTCCTCTACGAGATTGAGTACTCTTTTGTTCGCAATGACGGACGTAAACATCGATGTTAGTGAGACGAATTTGCTATCTTCTGTTCTCTGTAAACTTGCAGCAGCAAAAGAAGTGACACTCATGCGGCAGATTCTTCTAGATGTATGTAGACAATACGGATTAACAGATTTGAATGCTGCTGGTGAGTGGTTAGATGAACTGATTCTCTCTTCTGTGAATAGTGGATATGTGGATTTGCTGCGTCTTATGACAGAGGAATTCCATATCACGTTGTCCCAACATCTGAGAGGATCAACGCAACCACTTCTGATAGCAGTAGCACGCCGCGATATTTCAATGGTTTTGTACCTCATCCAAAATGGTATCCCTACTCAGTTAACTGGACCTATTCCCGAAAAGCTCCTCCCCTCCACTATGCGTGCGCTAAAATCTCAGGAACGGGAATTTTCTCCATTGTGGCTGGCGGCACGATTGGGAGACACCGCAATGGTGGAACTGTTGCTCTCTACAGGATCCTTAATTCTAGAGACGTGTACAGATACTACAGTACGTTACCGTGATGCCCTAAAGGCAGTAATAGATGGATTACCGTATCGTCTTTCACCGCATCATGACTCTTTGGTTGCTCAAACAGTGACATTGTTGGCTAGGGCTGGTCATGTTTACTCGTCACCTACTATTTTGCGTGAAGTTGCGAGGAAAGGAATGACACAGGCAGTTAAAACCATAATTGATTGCTACGGGCCTCGTGTAATTGTAGAAGACATCGTTTCTAATGAAATCTGTTCGCTACACTATTTGATTGGAAATGAAGCATTGTGTCCAGTTCTAAAGTCTCTAATTGTGAAAGAAATTATGATGGAGTCTGCAGAGACAGGAGGAGAAGAGAGACGAGATATTATCACTGCGATACTTCGTACTGATTTTAAAGTTAACCCTGTAGACTACGCTCTCACACACAATTCTGTGAAGGGTTCAGTACTTCTTCTTGCACTGGGATTATGTGGGAGTGGTGAAGAAAAGAGAAGTTGTAACCAAAAATTTTCTCGAGCCATTCGTTTATGCATTACTAGACGTAATACTCAAATGAGGAACTATTCGGTACTTCACGCAGTAGTAGAGTTACAATACTATGATATTCTTGAAATGATTCTGAACGAGGGTATATCCTTACAATACCTAGAAAAATATGAAGAAAAAACGAAAGACAAAACGCCATCTATTTCTTCGCTTTCAGCTTTTTACTGTGATAGGATACACCATCGCCTTGTCGTATCATCAGAGGTTTCAAAAGCAATAACTTTCTCTCTATTTGACGTACTGTACTGCATTTTTGCTCGGTGTAACTGTGATGGAGAGCAACGGAATTTTCTACAATACTCCAACTCAAATGGAGATCTTGAGAAGGCAGTGGACTTTCAATATACTGAGTTACCCAGAGAATTTATTTTAAACTTAGTTTCTGACAATCATAAATCATTTTTCTTTGAGAATAAAACCTTTTGTATTGCAGCATTGACCCCTATGGGGTGTGCTGTAGCGGCTGGGAACTTGTCATGGGTTCAGTGGTTGACATTCAGTGGTGTATCTTTAGTGAACTGCAATATAGTTGTTGCGAAGAGAAAACCGATGAAAATGACGGAGCTTGAATGTAAAAGAGACCACTGTCATAGACATGAAAAAATATTTCACTATGGATTTCTTTTTACTGATGAGCGTTATCAGATTAGTCCTCTCTTACTTTGTATGGCAATAATTATAGAGAGTGCTAGATCTCGTGATGCTCAGTTGTTACTACGACAGTCAGAAATCTTGCGTTTTCTCCTCTCACGTGAGAAATGTTTGAGACGTGAGGAAGTGAATCCACTGGCTATTGCAGCAGCAGGGTTGATGTTGTGGGACCTCCTTGAAGCCATTATCGAGGCAGCAGAAAGGTTGGAAAATGATCCCACAGAAGGTCGCTTCTTCTTCACCATCAGAGAGGAAGAAATACCGCCTATCATAGGGAAGGCAGTTGGAGTTGCACGGCATGTTATGCATAAAGCGGCTCGCTGTGCCCCGAAAGAGATTCTTGTTAATATTACGAAACACTCTCAACGTACTGATATTGAAACATCTTCTGATGCTAAGGGAAATACAACCCTTTATCACGCGTTGTTTCATTCATCGCGATATGCGCTTGAATTTTTCTTGGGGTTACGTATTCCTACAAATACTCCATGTAATAAAAACACAGGTCGTACCCCATTGATGATTGCTTGTCTACGTGGACAGCTACCATTGGTGAAGTCTCTGGTGGAGAAAGGGGTTTTAAACGCGACGGATCACCATGGAAACACGGCGTTGTTGTTAGCTGCTTGTGCTGGGCATCTGAATGTAGTAGAGCACCTCCTTAAGAAAGGTGCTGATCTTTCTGTTAGAAATAATCAAGGAATGACTGCTGTTATGGCAGCAGCTTTCGCCGGTCATGATGATGTGGCTGTTGCTTTGGCTGATAATTCCTCAAACATGAACGATTTTTTCTCTCCCCAGACAACGTTATTACACTGTTCTGCAGTTGGTGGTTGTTGGCATATGACGACAATGTTATTAAATACCATGGAAAATGTAGAACTCTTGGCCAAGGATTCTGACGGGTTCTCATCAGTTTACTTGTCTTATGCTATGGGTAACCACCGGGTTCTTCGAACACTTTTGACTGCCGCAATGTGTAAAGGGATTGAACCCTCTCCTTCACTTGATATGGAACGGCGTATATTTGACTGTTCTGCGGCATTACATCACTACGGTTGGTTAAAGAGAGTTTTGCAGATGGATCTAGCTCTGCTTGAGGAGTCCCGCCATCGATCATCTGGGCAATTCCGTGTTCGTCCTGGGGAAATGACATATTCTTGTGCTACTACAAATTTAAGGGAGTTTAGTGGTTCTTTGCTCCTTTGGTGTGTAAAAAACAATAATGTGGTTGGAGTCCGCGTCTTGGCAGATATGAATATCAGGGATGATTGCAACGCGCTTCATAAAGCAGCTAAGTACGGTTTATTGGGCGTGGTAAAACTTCTTGTGAGTCTGGAAATGAGTGATCCTAACAAGACGGACAAAAACGGGAGACTAGCATTTGAAATCGCTGCTATGCACGGGCATTTTAGCTGTGTTTCTTATCTCCTTTTACATACTAAATTAAACATTGAGCAACTGAAGACACCTTCTAAGGTAAGTGCTCAAAACACCTTCCACTGCATAGCTTCATGCGGAGGAGCAGAGACTCTTCTTGCACTAATAGAAATCCTAGAGCAAAAAGAGAGTGGGGCAAACTGGCCTTTAATTGCATCCGAACTGCTTGATGCCTTAAATACTCCAGACTCAAATGGGATGACCGCATTTGAATCCGCTGTGGCAATGGGGAACCCTGCTGGAGTTTTACGTGTGGCACAAACCCTAAAGAGACTTGTGACTATCTCAAAACGGGATAATGCGTTGTCGATTTCAAAGGCAGTACTTAAAAGTTTTTCAGTTATCTCCCCTGCAGTTCGGGTTATTCTGTATGACCTATTTAAGGTTACAGAGGTGGCTACCACCGTTGGGTTTGGGCGAAATCAAATGAAACGCTTAACATTTGCAGATGTACGGCTAATAGGTGTTAATGTGTTAAAAAGGGATACATTTTGCGCTTCTGAAACCTCGGGTCTTTTCACGTTACATCATGAGATAGCCGTTCAATCATCACTTTTGAGAGGATTACCTTTTAAAATATCCTACGAACCGGGTACTCTAGAGAAAAAGAGTATGAGGGAACAAGTTCAGTTATTGCAGTGGTTAACTTCCTCACTTGTCCTTTCAAACTACGAGAACTGGAGCGGTGACACAACTCCAGAAATAGTAGAACTCAAGTTAGTCTCTCACCGTTCTGCAGAATTTGCTGATTTATCATCTAGATATCTGCATCACTCTGTGTATGTGGACTCCCGTAGACTACTAATTCCTGACCTCAACTACACACTTAATTATACAAAGAAAAAAGAGATTATGCAATTACGAACCGAAGCAGAAGAAATGTGTCTTTTGCTGACACAGAGACTACAGGGTCTTTCCTATCCTGCATTAAAAAAGGGGCGAGTGACAGTGGACTGGAGCGGTGGTGGAATGACAACAAAATCCATTACACGCCTTATCTACAATGGTCTCGCAAAAGTTGCTGATTTCATAGAAGAAAAGTTGAGGGATTGTCTGTATGGAGTTCAAGAGGCAGATATGGCATCTGTAACGAGTTTACAAGAAGATACTGTCGTTGGTATACGCATTACATTCCATTACACTCATGAGACTATTCAAGAGCGTAACCTATCCTTAGGTAGTGGGTGTATCATCCTTTTTAGCGATGACAAGATACAGGATGTGAACCACATACTTTATTTAACGGTCTATAATAAGATCCTGGCAGATGTTAATCTACTTCGTATTAGTTTTATTCGAGATGATTTTGTAATGAAACTTATGAAACTTTTCGTTATGCGAAAGGAAACTGAGAGGTTTAAATTTAAACTGGAGGTTGATAAAGGTGTGTTGCATGAGTTTCCGTTGCATTTGCTATGTACCTTAATGGAAGAAACCGTTAAGGCTGTAAAATCGCTTATTATTGAACCAACTACAGATATGAACAAGTTTCACTCTTCACAAATTGTAAGTGATTTCTTAACTCGAAACTTTCGATCTGTAATTATTATTTTTTCCCCGCAACATTTACCATTGGTTGAGTTTTCAGATGGAACTCTGATACTACGTTTGAATACACAGTTGGCTCCCACACGGTGCGATATTTACGATTGTCTGCGTCACAGTGCAGTGGTGTCTGAGATTGAATGGTTGAAGGGGAATCTCCCTCTTTTGACTTCAACTGTTGCTACGCATCTCAACGAATATCTTCCTACCTGCACATTGGTAATAGATACTGCTTCCTTTTTTGAGGGACAAGATGAGGAATTTGTTCTCTCGGCATTAAGCCTCTTGTGCCATGATAACAGCGTTCATGTACTGGATCCTCTCATTAAGGGTGTTTTGCGGGGATGTGCCAGACCGCTGGGTGACATAGTGGGCCGCCATGTTCGTCAAATAACACTGACTTTACAGGCGTATGGAGATGCCACCTGTGTACTTTACGATAGTGGCAATTTTCTCTATAGTTGTTCGCTCTACTGTGTTGAAAGAGGAGTTTATGGAACATCCTCGTGGAATCTTCTTTCTACAGAACAAATATATTCATTGTTGATGATTCAGTTGGCTTCATTGGAACCCCTAGTTGCTGAACTTATCGACACGTCCAAGGCTTTCGCGTGCTGGACGCATGTACATGGTCCTTGTGATCTTCGCCTACGTCCTGGATCCAAAAATAAATCTCTAAGGATAAGAAGACGGAATGTTTTAAATTTGCCACTAGGTTCAGGTATTAAGGAAACCGTAGAATTTAAAGGGGATTGGTGCTTTGTTAAACTTAATAAGGCAACCGGTAAAGTGTGTTTTACCGCTCCGAAGAGGCTTGGGTGTTATTACCAGCACATTCTAATGGATGGACATCCGCTGTACAATTCCCCAATTTATTTCGAAGTGCTTACAGAAGAGAATACTAAACAGAAAGAAAAAAGTGCTTCAAATTGAATATAGTGACGCTGAGGATTCTCTTCTATGTGGTATAATTTGGTATTGGAGAAGTACAACCATTCCCTTCCTCCCACCAAAAAAAAAAAAAAAACCTTGGGGAAGCCCATAACAGAACAGTATTGTGTAAAGTAAAAAATGGAGGAGCAATGGAGATCTTATCATGGTATTTATAGAGTAGATGTGACTACTGTTAGGATGGAAGCTGTTTCTCTCACTCAAGTTTTCTGGAAGTTTGTGCATGCTGTCAATTCATATATATCATGTCGCGGGTGAGAGTGGCTTTTTCTTTGGAGTTCGTCACAAGGAGAATTAGATGCTAGGCTTATCGTGGATTTTGACACCGCTCCACCGGAGATAGTCGTTGGATTTTTAAGGGAGAGGGTTCGGTGGTGGCGTTAAAGGGTTTATTTGGTCATGCTAACTTATTTTTCCGGATGTCAATTCGCAAAATTGGGGCGTGGAAAGCTAATTGGTGGTCCTGTGAATCGTATAGTTCCTACACTAAATATAGTGAAGGAGTAAGATCTGTATATAGTGTGATCTCCGAGAGCGACTTGCATTCGGTTTTGTTTTTTCCGAGTGTTGTTGTTATTGTTATTATTATGTTTCGAGTTACTTTTTTTTTTTTTTCGAAATTGACTCTTCTTTTCTCTTCATAAGATTTCTGCTACAATATTTATTTTCTCTCTTTTTTTTCGCTCTTTCTTTATATCTTCATTTAGAGAAACCGGAAAGGATGGTGAAGCCAGTTATCCCAAAGAGCGTTGTGAAGAAGCGCACGAAGAAGTTCACACGTCATAAGTGTGAGGCCTTCCCGCAGCTTAGCAGCAGCTGGCGCAAGCCAAGGGGTGAGGACTCCCCAGTCCGCCGCCGCTACAAGGGACAGAAGGCCATGCCCAACAAGGGTTACGGTAGCGACCGCCAGACAAAGTACATCACCCCATCGGGCTTCAAGAACTTTCCCATTAACAATGTGCAGGACCTCTACATGCTGCTTATGCAGAACCGTAAGTACGCTGGTGTGATCTCTCACACTGTTGGTGCCAAGTCGCGCAAGGCTATTGTGCGCAAGGCCCACGAGCTTGATGTGCGCCTGATCAACGGTAACGCCAAGCTCCGTAAGGTTCCCCAGTAGAAGGGAGGAACAGATAGGGTGGTGTTAAACGGTACAGGTTTCTCGTTTTATTTTCCTCTTTTTTTTTCTTTTGAAAAAAAAAAAAAAAACACATACACACTTTTTGTTTTATCACATTCGTTTTTTTTTTTTTTTTATGCTTTGTTGTACTTCGTACCCCATTTGTTCTGTTACTTCTCTGGTTTGAGATTCCCTCTCTTCTCGCCTGCGAGTTCTATTCGCTCTTTTTCTTGTGTTCCATGTAGTTTTGTGGCTGCAGTGATGGAGCAGTGCATTGCACTTGCTGACTACAACGCTTGCGAGGCAGATGAGATCAGCTTCCGCCGTGGCGATGTGATTACCGTGACGGCGAAGGGCAGCACTTCCGGCTTCTGGGAAGGATATGTGGCCGCAACACCCGTACGCGGTCTCTTCCCTAATTGTCTTGTATCGTCGAACATGCGGCCGCAGCAGACGCCAACGTTCTGCGACCGGGCGCTCTGTCTGTACGACTACACGGCGGCGGATGCGGCGGAGATGAGTTTTGCGCGAGGCGACGTGCTGCGGGTGGTGCGGCGGAGTGCAGCGCTGGGTTGGTGGTATGGTGTCAACACAAGCCGTGCGGCGGAGGAGGAGCCGCGTTTGCTGCCGAGCAACTTCGTCACGTGCAATATCGTTCTTGCCGCCTTTGAGTTTGAGGCGCGGCAGAAACACGAGTTGGGGCTGAGTGTGGGCGACGTCATTCAAGTCCACCGGAAGTGGAACGATGGGTGGTGGGAGGGAACCCTGCGGGGGCGACGCGGGATATTCCCAAGTAACTACACACTGCCAAACGTGGCAACCACAAGCCCACCATTCTTCTGCAATCACTGCAAGACGGTCTTTGCGGATAATCCTTTATGCTGTGAAACTTGTCAAAAAGAGGAGGAAATAGCGCGTTCAATGATCGCTGCTCTGGATGAGTATGCCACAGGGAAAAAAACACAGTTGGATCTTTTTGCCTACGTAGATATTGAATCCACTGACAAGGATGAAAAAGGATCAAATACTGCTGATGAGGGGTTAGTGCGTCGCATCGCAGGTGCCATAGGGTAAACGTAGAATTTGAAATTTCTCTTTTTTCTTTTCTTTGCATTTACCTGTTTCTATTTTGTATCGCTGTTCATTATCTTATTGGTCAAATAATAAGGAGAAAAGAAAAAAAAAAGGCACTGCTGTTTTCTCATTTCATGGTAAAACATAAAGGATCATGCGCCTTTAAGCAAACACTTTCTTTTTCCCTTTTCCTTGTCACAAGCTCTTTTTTTTTTTTGCTCTTACTTGTTTACGTGCTGTTTCTGACTTGGGGTGAAGAACGACTCTTCAGGGATTACAAGTAGTCTAAACATGCCGCCAAAGAAGGAGCTTTCATCTTCAGTACACCAGATGCCCCACGAGAGGCAGGTGGAACTTCTGTCGGAAGCCCTACTGAGAGAGTACATGCATAAGCGTAAGTTTGCAGAGACGTTACGCGCCTTTGACGAGGAAAATCCTCGAGATAGTGATACAATTTCTTCACGTGCATTAATGTCAGACCTTATGGCACTGAAACCAGAGACACAGCGTCTCTTGAAGGCTGATGGAGTAGAGACTATCATGGAGATGCTTTGTTATCTCCGTGTCAAACGACGTTTAGAACTGGAGGAATTAAAACGACAAGCATCAGTTGAACCTCCTCCAACACCAGAGAAGGCAAAAAAAAAGAGTAAGGATAAGAAAAAATCATCAACTAAACACTCATCTGAAGGTTCATTGCGACATGAACGGTCAAAGCACGATAACTCCGGTAGAGAGAAGAAATCTTTATCTAGTAACAGGAGCAGCAATAGTGATAGCAGTAGTGAAAGTGAAGTGGCGAGTGATCGGGGATCTAGTGGGTCATTTGATCATAAAAGGGACTCTTCAGTGGGAAGAGGACTGGCTCGATCAATAATAAAGTTACTTTGTGGTGAAAACGAGATTCCCACATCCTTTCTTAAACAGGGTTTCGTTTTTGATGAAGACGTGGAGTACGGCCTTATTGAATGGGATAGGGGCCCTGAAGGAATTATTGCAGTGGTGCAAGCCTATATTTGCGCCTTTTTTTTTAAAGGGGGGTTCGTCGACATTAAACGGCATCAGCAGCAATGTCTTCAGAGAGCCCTCATGACGCTCCTTTCAAGTGCCCAACCTGATCCGTCTCATGTTTGTCTCGTAAATGGATCTATAAGAGAGAATGAAGTAAACAATGACTTAAAACATTTAATCCTCTGGCGTGATTTTGCGACCGCAGAAGATATTGAACAAAAACTTCACTCAGTTTTGGAGGATTGGATGGAACCTAGAGGATCAGGTGTTTTCTGTTTCTTTCTCTCTGTGTTATTGTCTCGTGGCATCAAGAAGGTTGCCACAACCATGAGTTCTGCAAATGGTCAATTGATCAATAGCGAAGGTTGTTGTTCCTCAGACGTGGCTAAGATTCTCTTGCATGGTGAGGAAGATACAACTTCTTCTTCTTATTTGTTGCAAGAGTTGACTATGGGTGGAAGCACAGTGGGAATGTCTTGCGGTTATGTTTCGACTGGTCAAGATGATACAAGCTTAAATGAGGTGGGCGCAAAGACACCACGCTACCCTGTATGGGTAGTGCACCACCAAAGCCGTTTTGCGGTTCTTTTTCTCAAGAGAGACACCCGTCGTCAGTTTGAGCAAAATGAGCGAATGGGGATGCCTGCGTTTTGTGATATATTTTTCTACGAGCCAGGCGCACCGAAGCGAGACGAGAGGTTCCTTTCCGTATCCTCCACTGCCCAATCTCCTGAGGTTGGTGGGAGCAATGAGGAGAACTCTTCATTTCTCTATGCTGCAGTCCGTAAAATTCCCTTATGGTGCGATGGAGAAATTGACTGGAATGGTTTTAAACCGGTCTTTTGAGTTTTTTTTTTCTTTGGTGATTCTTTTTTTCCTGTTCTTGTGGTTGCAACAGTTGTAGTAATGATGTTGCTAACGATTGGGAGCTTGCCATAAAATTAGAATAATAGTTGCACGTTTTTTTTTCTTTTTTCTTGACTTCCTTTTAAAGTTTGTATTGTTGCGATAGTATCACCTATAAAAAGGAAAAAAAAAAGGAGCAAGTATAAGAGCAAAAGAAAAAAAAAAAAAAAAAAAAAACAGAAAAACAAAAACAAAAAACAAAAAGAAAAAAGAAAAATTTAAAAAGATAAAGCGCACACTCACATGGAGAAAAAAACTGACTCAAATGAGCACAGCTGCAAGGAACCGATTCTGCACAATATCGTTCCCTCTGTGAATGATGAGTTGAAACCAGGTGCATATGATCCTGCCCTCAAATGGTGGACCTATGATATAACCACCACATTTTCCGTGGTTCAACTCGAAGACCCCACAATTGGTGTTACTGCTGATGATGTTCCGAGGCGTGCAAGGGAATTGGGTGACAACAAGATTCCTATATCTGGTGGTCCAAGTGCTTTGTGGATTCTTTGCCGACAGTTTATGAACAGTATCACCGTTATATTGACAATCGTTATTGTTATCAGCGCAGTTTTTAAGGATTGGGCAGAGTTCGGTGTTGTGCTATTTATTTTGCTATTTAACGCCCTCTTGGGATTTTATCAAGAGTACGGCGCAGAAAAGTCTCTCCAAAGTCTTAAGGAAATGACGGCAGGTAGTGCAAAAGTTCTGCGTGACAGTGCTGCCCAAATTATATTTATTGATGAGGTCGTTGTTGGTGATATTATTATTTTAGAGCAAGGTTCTTCCGTACCAGCTGATTGCCGCATTGTAGAAAACAATGGGTTAGAAGTGGATGAGGCACTTCTTACAGGTGAGGCAATGCCGGTAGTAAAACACACGAATGTCATCCCTGATCCTGATGGTAATTGTGCATTGGGTGACCGCAAGAATATGGTGTACCGCAATACACTGGTTACACAAGGACGTGGAAAGGCCGTTGTTGTGGCTGCTGGTCTTAGTACCGAGATGGGAAAATTGGCTGAACGGCTCACTGATGATGAAGGTACAGGAAAGACTCAACTAATGAAAACATTAGATTATATGATGTATTTTCTTTTTGGTTGTTGTGTGGTCTTGGCTATTATTGTGTTTGCTACAAATAAGTTTAAATATCATCCAACTACTTTATCTTACGCAACAGCAGTCGCCATCGCCATTTTACCCGAATCACTTGTTGCTGTGATAACGGTATCTATGACGGTTTCTGTAAAGAGAATGGCGAAGCAAAAATGTATTGTACGCAAATTGTCTGTATTGGAAGTCCTTGGTAATGTAACAGATATTTGTTCTGATAAAACCGGAACACTAACAGAAAACAAGATGGTAGTTAAAAAAGCAGTTATCGGCATCAGTGACGAGTTCGTCGTGACAGGAGCTCCATATGATCGACATGGTTTTTTTGTACGAGAGAGTAATAGTGATGAACACGTGAATCTAAAAGAGTCATATAATACCAATAAAGCAGTTTATGAATTTATGAGATGTGCTGCTCTCTGCAGCAGTACCACTCTTCATATTGATGAAAATGATGCAGATCATCTTGTGGGTAGTGGTAACCCGACAGAGGTGGCTATTCAAGTGATGACATGGAAAGCTGAACTTCACCGTGATATGTTTGAAGATGAGGGATGGGAATGTATAGCAGAGTATCCATTTGATTCAAAGATTAAGCGTATGTCTACTGGATGGTATCACAAAGAAAGAAACGAGTTGTACCTTTCTACAAAGGGTGCCCCAGAGCGTGTGCTTGACCTTTGCGCGTCCAAGATATCCGAATCTGGGAGTATTGACACTCTAGCCGATGATGAACGTCAGAAAGTGGAAGAGCATGTCAAAGATTTGGCATCTCAGGGTCTTCGTACGATATGTTTTTCAATGAGACCATGTTCTTTACAACAATTTCCTATTCCAGAAGAAGATTCCTTTATTATGGCACACACTCGTGAGGTTGTTGAACAGGACTTGGTGTTTCTTGGCCTTGTTGGTATCTACGACCCTCCGCGACCGGAATCAAAACCTTCTGTGATTGCTTGCCAGCATGCTGGTATTGTAGTACGTATGTTAACTGGTGATCACGTTTCGACAGCCGGAAGTATTGCTGTAATGCTTAATATAATTGGCAAACGTGACATAAGTAATCCTTTGAAGCTCCAAAATGGGCCTGATTTTGACAGAGTGGAAATGGAGACGATTGCTCAATGGGAAGATCTCCCACTGGTTGTTGGTCGTTGCTCACCAGAATCCAAGGTGAAGATGATTGATAGTCTTCATAAACGTAAACGTGTTGTGGCAATGACAGGGGATGGTTTTAATGATTCACCAAGTATTAAAATTGCTGATGTTGGTTGTGCAATGGGGTCTGGTACTGATGTCACAAAAGGTGTTGCTGACCTTATCATTACAGACGATAACTTCGCCACAATTGTAAAGGCTGTGGCTGAAGGAAGACGCATTTCACAAAATATAAGAAAATTTGTGGTCCATCTGCTTTCCAGCAACGTTGCAGAAGTTATTGCACTTATTTGCGGTCTTCCAATACGTTATATGGAAGCTCCTTTATTTGTATTATCACCTATTGAAATTCTGTGGTTAAACATGTTTACATCTGCACCACCCGCTACTGGTCTTTCTTTAGATGCTGCCAGCTCAGATGTGCTCCTTGTGCCTCCAAATACTGCTGGTTTATTTACAGTAGAACTTGTGGCTGACACTCTTGTGTATGGATTCTGGCTTGGTGCATTCGCTTTATGCGGTTTTGTTTTTATTTTGTACGGCATTGATAATGGACCAACTGGTACTGATTGTAATTCACATAGTGGTGTTGGCTGTGAAAAGATCTGGCAAGCACGTGCGACTGCGTTTGGAATACTGTACTTTGGGCTATTAATTCATTCCTACACTGTGCGACATCCCCGACTATCTGTTTTCCGTATGAAATGGTTTGATAATCGTTGGATTTACGGTTCTGTAATTGTTGGAACTATCTTGTTCATTCCAATTGTATATGTTAACCCCATTGCCCATGGACTCTTCGTGCATCACATGCTTACCTGGCATTGGGGAGTTCTCGCGATTCTCTTGATCCTCTTTCTATTCTGTTGTGAGATGTACAAAATACTGAAGAATTGCTGCTTCCCACTTAAACACGTCACTGTGCCTCAAGACGAGGAAATAGAAGAAGAGTACCGACGGTTCGCTGTTCCAGAACACGACACAAGAGATGTAGTAAGCATTGCCCAGGAAGATCTGCGTATGTCGTTTGCATCATTTGCCGGAAGCATTAATAGCGCTGGAACGCACAGAAACCGAATGTCATTTGGTAAGAAGAAAAAATAGGGGATCACCATTTATAACTGTTTTAGTTGATTTTTATTGGGAAAATGGCGGATTGAGTATATATACCGATATCTGTCAAACTGTGTATATATGTTTCTGTGTATTCCTGTAGAAGTGAGGGGAAAAAAAAAGAGAGAAAGAGAAAAAAAAAAAAAGGAAATACACCACCATCATTATCATCGTCCAAGGTAGTGAGAGCGTAACGATTCTTGGGGAAAGTTTTTTTAGTTTCATCCTGATTTTTTTAAGGTTGTTTGTTCAATGTGAAAAATGGCGTTCTCCACACGTTGAAACAAGGGAAGGAATAATAAATTATATAAAAGGGGAAACTGCCAAAGAAAAGAAAGTAAATTTGTTATAAATAATGAGCAAATAGATACAATAATATATATATATATATATATATATATATATATGGTAAAGGGCCAGGATGACTTTCTTGTTTGTTGTTTTGTGTGTATGTATCTGTGTATGTTGTGCTGATTTGAAGTTTTCTGCTTCTTCGGCGGGGTACGAAAATTAAAAAAAAAAAGCTCAGGTGTTGTTGTTGAAGTGTTGCAATGCACACTGAATGTATGTACCTCTACACACATCAATATTTCTTTTTTCCCTCCCCCCTTTTCTTTCCCACATAAAAAGAAAAAAAAAAGCTATTTATTTTATCTTCTTCATTGTACTAGCATAAGTCCCAGTTTTAGTGATATAGTGTTTTTTCTTTTTTTTGTATTTCCCTTTGTAACCACAGAATATTACATATCAAATGGAAGGGAACAAGAAGGTTGCTGTTGCTGTTCGTGTGCGCCCTGTTTTGCGAGAGGGTGTAAGCCACATACATGTACAGGAAAAGTTTGAGCTTGAAGCTGTTCACCGAACAGGTGATACAACACTGAAAGTGGAACTTCAACGGCCAGGGGAACCCACACGAAGCAGCGCGTTCGTTTTTGATCACATCTTTGATCAGGAGAGCACCCAGTTGGAAGTGTACGAAGAAGCCGTGGTTGATCTCGTGGATGCGACTTTATCAGGCGCAAATGCGACCATTTTGGCCTATGGACAAACAGGATCCGGAAAAACGTTTACTGTTCTTGGAGATGTCAAACCAAATCCACTTGAAAATGATCTTCTTACCCATGAGAGTGGTATCTTTTTACGTGTGTTAAGCGATTTGGTGGAATACAAGGCGAGACAAGCTAAAAAGGGGTTTCATGTTGTAATTGGTCTTAGCTGCGTGGAAATATATAATGAAAACATCCGTGATCTCTTCGGAGGTACACCAGCTACTCCTCCTCCTCCTTTGAAGGCGGTCATGATTGGAGAAGAGGTACTTCTCCCCTCTCTTATTATCAAGGAAATGACATCTCTACAAGCGGTTTTTAATGAAATTCAACTTGCCATTTCTCGACGTAAAAGTCGTTCCACTGAATCCAATGCTACATCAAGTCGAAGTCACTGTCTTTTCCTTATTGATATTCTTCAGCAAGCAAATACTGCACCTCCACCGTCCTTATCCATCTTGGAAACAAAGAAGGGAGTAAAAGAAAAAGAGGGAAAACGTATTGTATGTGATGGCACTAAGCCAGGTGAAATGGCATTTGATGGTATGGTCTACCGTATTCCTGGTCAACAGGAACCTATTTTTTCAAGCAAGATTCTACTGGCAGATCTCGCTGGTAGTGAGAAAATTCTGAAGAGTGGTGTTACTGGTGAGGGATTAGCAGAAGCCACATCCATTAACAGCAGTTTAACCGCGCTGGGGAATGTTGTACACAATCTTTATGAAGGTTCTTATGTAAGTTATCGTACTTCAAATCTTACTCGACTTCTTAAGCCTACTTTCAGTCATCCAAACTCGCGTGTTCTTTTGCTGGCACAGGTTTCACCCACTCAGTTGACATTTGATGAGACAGTCAGTACTCTTCACTTTGCCAACAAAGTGAAAGCAATGAAAGTAACAACAACTACAGGTGCTGAAGCAGAAAAACTCTTATTTGATTATCTTGAAACAGAGAAAACGTATGACTCAATTCTTGCAGATCTTCACATTTTCGCTGTTGATTCCCTGTCCAAGAGCGCTGTTATCCGAAGGAATTGTCGACAAAACCAGGGATTATATTATACTGCTGGAGATAAGGTTAAAGCTAAGGTTAGCATGAAGGAACGACGCTCTTCCGTTGAGGCTTTTGGTGCTCTTCGTTATGCGAGTGAAGAGCGCGATGCTTTAATAAAAGAAAAACAACGGATAGAGGCTGAAAAGGAAAATAACTTTAAGAGAATGATTCGTGAAGAGACAGATAAAAGGCTGGCAGAGCACAATAACCTTATGAAGGAGACAAAAGACGGAATTGAGAAGGAAACTATGTTCTTTCAGCACGTTGGAGAACAAGATCTTCAACTTGCATATTCTGCAGGTGCTTCTGAGATTCAAGAAGAAGAAGCGACTGAATACGCCACGTTGATGTCTCAGTTTGCAGAAGAACAAATTGATTTGTGCAGGAAACTAATTGAAGCAAGCTACAATAAACAGGAAGAAATTAGCAATCAGCTCAACGTACAGCGTCTCGATTTTACTGAACCGCCGGAAATTGCCGATGATAATTTGAAATACGCCCTTTCCTGTTGGGGCCACACGACAGCGAAGAGGTTCTTCGCAAAGTGTATGGAACTTCGTGAAATACAAATGCAAGTAACAACAGCTGAGAGGGGGTGTCTCTCCCTTGAACTTTGGAAAGCGCAGAATGAGGCATCACTGCAAGCAAAACCAAATCAAACTGAAGGAATAGCATAGTAATAATAGGAATAAAAGGAATGGTATGGGAATTGTGTAATGCGCAACTGCAAGAATTATATTCCTATATTTTAGTTTCGATTTGATTTGATTTTGATTGGTAGATCAATTCAAATATGTATTTCTTCCCTTTCTTTCTCTTTTTTTTTCAATTATTTCTGTCCGTTTGCGTTTCATTTTTTTTTTTTTTTTTTTTTCTTTTTGGTCTTGGGAATCTTTGCTCCACCTTTTTAGAAGGGGAAAAAGGGAGAAAGAAGTAGAGACAGGGGCAGAAAAGAGAAAGAGGGTTTTTTATTTTTGTGGGAGGAATTTGCTTCAGTTGTTCTCCACATCATAGTGAAAAGTGGGAGGGGCACTGTTTCCCCGATTTTGTTTTTCGTATATTGTTGTCCCCTCCGTTGGAGGGGCAGGTAGAGTAGTTTTGTTTTTATTTTCTTCTCTAGGGGCTCCAAAAAAAACAAAAAAAAAACTCTAGTGGAAATACTTGAGGTCGGTTGAACGAATTGGATAGTACAGGTTTACTGAGGGGCTTTGAATGAATGTATGTAACCCGCAATATTATTTCTTCTTTCTTGAGGACATCAGTTGATTTTTTTTCCTTCTCTTTCCATTGCCTTGCCTTGCCATTTCCCCCCCCCCCCCCCATTTTTGCTTTTCTTTTTCGCTTTAGGGAAGTACCTTTCAATGAAAGCATGCCTGTGAACTTTGTATACGCTGTATTGACTGTACAGAATGCGGCGAACAAGTTCATATTATTGCATTGGTTTCTTTGTTTTTCTCCGGCGCAGTTATATTCGAACTCCTGAAAAGGTACCTTGTGGGATATCATGATACCTTCCTGACCCTTTTACAAGAGCTTGTTACACTCTTGAGCCTTCCAGCAGCGCCAAGTGTGGGGTTTTTTTACTTTGTCCTTTGCAGGTTTTGGGGGCTTTGGCTCGTCACGAACATGAGAGGAACAACAACAACAAAAAAAAAAAACGTACTCGCTGGAGGGGAAGAAATGAGGACGGCGAGTTTTCCCCTCATTAAGAAGTGTATATTGGTTGGAGGTTCGGTTGCGGGTGGAACGTGTACGCACACACACACACACACAAACAAACAAACAACGCATATTGCACGTTTCAGGCATTTTTATTTTATTTTTGGTCAGTCCGTTACCACTGGTTTTGTTGTTTCTCTTAACAACGATGTACATTGGCATTCCTCTTCTTTCTATTCAGTCCACTCGAAATAAGTGGAATTCTGTCGTTTTTTTTTTTTTGCTTTTTCACTTTATTTTTTGGATGTGTTTTTTAGTCTATATGTGCACATTTGTTGGAGACTCATGCGGATGATTGGTTCTGCAAACATCTGTGTATTTACTCAATATTCATGGCATAAGGGGACAGACATTGGATAACGCACATGGTTGTATGTCACATGAAATACTTCTTTTGCTTTTTATTAATTTATTTATTTTCCTCCAGTGCTTGGATTGTGTTTTTTTTTTTATTTTATTCTTCCTTTCCCCTTTCCCTTCTTTGTGTTTTTTTTTTTGCTCTTGAGGCATTTTGCCTTTCTTTGGTTCTCCTAGCAATTGTGTACGCTCCAGTAGGGATTTGCTCTAGTTTGCAAAACGAAAAGAACAACAAGAGAGGGTGGCTGTTATTATTGCAATATATTTCTTGACAACCCTTATATTTCCTATACTCCCAAAGGGAGAGAGATATTTTAATAAAAATGCGGTCAGCCGTGCCCAAAGACTCGGAAGAGGCAAAAGCCCTCGTGGGATCTCTACGACAGCATGCGGATAACAAAGTTTGCTTTGATTGCCCGCAGAAAAATCCGAGTTGGTGCAGTGCTACGTATGGTATTTTCTTATGTATGGATTGTTCTGGGAGGCACCGTGGCTTGGGTGTTCATCTCTCTTTTGTGCGCTCCGCCGATCTTGACAGTTGGACTCCTGAGGAGGCGCTTCGGATGGCACTCGGAGGCAATGCGGCAGCCCGGCAGTTTTTCAAGCAACATGGCTGTGATGACCCCAAGACGCGCTACACATCCCCCGCTGCGCAGATGTACCGAAAACGGCTTGACCGACTTGTGGGGGAACGTGTTAGGGGAACGACAGAAGAGAAGCCCTCGGAGAGTGAGCGCGTTGTGACAACGGGGGTGTCCACTGAGGCAAAAAAGGAGCCTGAGGTCACGAGTGTCAGTAGCCCAGTTGCTCAGCCTTCCGTAATAAATCTACCATCCAAAACGGGAAAGAAACTTGGTACAAGCAAGAAGAAGGGATTCGGTGGGGCCCAGAAAGTGGAAGAGGGGACCATCAAGGAGACTTCAGATCCGGTTCCAGAGACCCTGCTTCACGATGATGTGAAATCGGAGGAAGTACATAGGCCGGAGACTGACCCTGTCGGTGGAACAACTCACTCCGTGAGTCCAGGAGATCGTTTCCGTGGGTTGGGGAACCCTGCATTCCAGACAGAAAAACTGGATTCTACTCCTTCTGCGAACAACGGACCCGACTACTCTGGTGTGGGATCACAGTCATATCAGCCGCAGCAGGCGATTCGCTCAGATTCTGGCATTACTGGTGGTAATAGTGGTAGTGGATACAGCACTAGCTTACAAGAGACCTTGTGGCAGGTGTCCGAAGCTTGGGATTCCTTGAAAGAGACAGCCAATCGTTCCCGTGAAGAATGGGGAAACAAAGTCAAGGAGTTCTTGGATGACCTTTAATCCTGAACGTAAACGCAAGAAATTCATCAAAACGAGGTTGGACGAAACAAACAAACCCTTCATAAGTCTTTTTTTTTTTTATCATATGTGCTCACTTTCATTCGAAAGACCCATTTTGTCTCTTCCTGTCTTCGTTTTTTTTTTTTTTTTAGTCCTTGGGACTTGGGTCGATGTAGTGAAATTAATATTTTCATATGATTCTTTTCTTTTTTTTTCTTTCTTCTGGATTTTTTTTTTTTTCGTTTTCACATGCTAAAGATGCGGGGCGCCAAATCAATAGTGGATTGCGTTAGCAGTCCCTTTTCAGCAGTTATAAAATTTCAGAAGCAATTTGTTGATGATGTAATTGTTAACGTTAAGAAAAGGAGTGAGGAGTTGGACCGTTACAATCACGAATGGCGAAACCGTAAGGTACGACTGTATCTCGACCACCTGGAGGAGGAGTACCTCTGTTGTGTGTGTGGGAAACCTGGTGTAGATCGGGATTCAGATGACACAGTAACAGATGAATTCAGTATTATTCATATGCCAAGCAAGGAAAGGATTGAGCAGGCTATTATTTCCTCCGGTCAGTCGAGTGAAAGTGGTCAACATACAGGTTTAGGGAATTCTCAGGCGCTGAATCCAGAAGTGTACGCACTTCTAGGTGTTCTCTCAACATCTACGGAAAGGGATACACGCAAAATGGTAGCAAAAGTTCAGCACGCTATTCTAAACCAGGAAGCAGCAGATAAGCAGAGGGGCAAGAAATCATCTCACAGAGATAAAGGATTAATGAAAATTGAGGAGGCTGATATTGATATGTTTGAGGAGTTTTTCAAACGGCCTGTTCACGGGTACCTTTGTCTAGAGTGTCACATTTCAGCGAAAAAAAGACTTGATGCACTTACGAGTCAAATCCAAGGTATTCTCTTTAGAGGAAAAACCCCGTTTCTTCGTAACAGCTCCACTAATGGCAGTTATATTGGTAATACTGGTGTCGGTGGTGGTGGTGTTGGTGTTTGTGCTATAGCTACGATAAAAAGTCAAGGACAGGAGAGAACATCGTCGAAAGTATCTCCCGCCGCAAAGCACTCCAGATTAGTTTCAAATGTAAAAGAACACGATCTTGTTACTCTTCCCGACGCAGCAATATTGTACCTCAGAGCAAATGTCCGATGCGCCGTATGTAAACGGCGACAGGCTTGTTTCTTCATTCGACAAAGTGTTGCCTTTCTCTGTCAGTTTTGTTGCGCGAGGGATCGTTTTTATCGAGACAACGCCGTTTGCATCAATGATGAACTCATGTCAAGAGAGACGGCGCACTTACTTAGGACATTGGCGTACCATTATGAACGCACAAAAGGTGAAGACAAGGTTAATCCATTATCCAGTAGCAATGAGAAGAGTCGCGTCGATCTATTTCTCGAGTACAATAATATTGACCTAGTTGCAGCGATGCCACCGCTGTATGTAAGTATAGACGTGGAACCAATGCTTCCTTACCCCCCGTCATCATTGGACCGACGAAGCGTTGCAGGGAACACGTCCGTTTCTCTCTTCAAAGGAAAAACGTTTTCTCTGAACCTCGGTGAATCTGATATATTGTGATCGAAACCCCATATTCATAAAAAAGAAACCACCGGCATACTCAGGTAAATTTGCATTCCATGAATTATGTAACGGTTCTGTTCTGGGAATCAAGATAAACTGAAGAATACAAAGAAGGAAAATAAGGACACGTGTGCCACACTGTGGTTGGGACGTTTAAATTTTTTTTATTTTTTTCTGCACCAAGGCATCGATAAGTAGAGGAAAAAAAAAAATGAATGAATTATATATTATTGATTCGCACCACGCTGTTTCGATTTCGCCTGACCTTTCTCTAACGAGAGACAATGAATACTGGAAAAAACAATTTAATTTTGTTTGTACCGGTACTCCCAGTTATACTCTCGTACTACTATTTAATAGCTTGATGCCGCAACAAATTCCACACACTCTGTTACTTTACTTGCATATATGTGTATGTCACGACGTGTGTTCGTGTATGTGTGTGTGTGTGTGTAATGTGCATGTGTCTCTCTTTCTCTATAATTTCCTTATTATTTTAGGCAGATAATAGTAAAGTGAACAGGAATAAGACATGGTAATGGTGCAGCAGTGTGTGTGCTCCTTTGTGAGTTCATTTGTAGTTGAATAGACAGAACAGCCTGTAAAGGGGAGTATGGTCTGTTTTATTATCAACAATGGGAGTGTTTGATGGTGTATAAGTGAATGCACTGGAGTGGATCAAAAGATTGATGTTGAATATGAGGGATGTGATTTGTGTCACCTCTTGTGCGCCAGTTAATATGTGTTAGTGTGTTTATTATGTCACTCTGAATGGATTGTGTTTCCATTGGTGTTTGCAATTGGGTCCTCTGTCTGCGGCATTGTTTCTGGTTTGCTATGGAAATGGTGAAGCTGGGTTGTGTTCATTCTAATGGGGAGTATACACCGCCGTGGTGGGGGACAGTATTTGGAACTGGGGAATCACAATCAAACGACAGCAGAACAAGAAATACACTGGACACCCCAATGGGGCGTGGAACAGTGAAGATGATGAAATGGGTCAGTTATTTAAAGAAGAGGGAATAGAAGTATAGTGGATTGGAGAATAACTTTCCATATGCACATACATATACATATTTATTTATTCTGGTGCATTTGCATGTAATAGTATTTGATGCAACTGCAGTTGGTACTCTGCTTCCCTCCCCCTCCCCCACACATATACACACACATTATCTCCTCATTGGGATACTGAATTTCTCAGTTGTGTGTGTGTGACACCTTGTTTCATTCACCTGACAGGTGTTGTGCATATGTGCAGCCATGAATTCATTTCGCACACTATTACTCATCCGATTGGGGTTTGCAAGGACATTTTGTTTTGCCTTTCTGACGTCTGTGGCATTCTTGCAGATTGTGGTTCCAGATCGGCTGGTAATCAGTGAGGGTTTGTTTAAATGTTTTTTTAAGCCAGTTACTGCACTCTCTCGTTTGTTTTGTATCTCTACTTTTTTTTTTTTCATTCATTTTGATTTGTTGTTGCAGAAGTGACTCTGCAATCAACAGAAAATCAAAAAATACAGTGAGAGAAAAATGAGTAGAAGTAAAAGAGAGAATGGAGTTTCGTTTGATTAGTGAGGAGAGTGACGTCACTGTTAAACAACATACACATGATGAGGTGATGCCTAGAGAGGACCCAAAGTTAATGAATGTTGATCCACCTCCAGCAATGCAAACACCACTGAGGGGTGTGTGTCGACCAGGGTGAATATTGTACGCAACAGTCAAGAGAGAGTGTTACCGAGTGGGACTATATTCTCATAGTGGTAGTTAAACTGATCAACTTATTCCATTATTATTTTGAAAGCATAAACATTGTGGATTTCAATGAAAATAATGGGGTGGGTCTCTCTCTCTCTCTGTGTTGATGGATTCAGTGTGGAATTGAAAAGAGCTACTCCACCGCAGCTATTGACATAGAAGACTCTGGGAAAGAGTTCTGCACAGAAAAAAAAATATGATAAATCTTATTCTTGACTACTGGACCTCATCACACTCATCTCTGAGAAAAGGGTGAGTGGGGAATGTTTTGTATTTATGCAAACAAGTAGAGGTGATATTTGTATGGCGAATTGCTTAGGAATGGCCTGGAGAAATCTTTTGGTGATCGTGTAGGGGCCATTTGGGAACCCACGGAATGTGCACAGATTGAGACCCCTTGAATCAAAAGGTCCTTTTCTATTTCATAATGCCTCTTCTGCCAACCGGTGAGACGTAGTGGTAAAGAAGATCACCCTATGTTTGCGTAATTCCCTGTTGGGGTGGCTTTTTCTGCGTGAAAAAAACTATCACTGCGGAAAGGAGAAGCATTTCCATCATTTTAGCGAAGAAGAATGGCGCACCCCCAAAGCCTGTTGAGGGTTTTGCGTTTTTCCTTTCCCATTTCTCTACAAACGGATGGGCATGGATCCATATATACAACTATTGCTCTCTTTTCTCTTTTTGGGACTACAGAGCAATGCCCTGACCCATTTAACGTTGTGTCCACTCTACGGTGTGTGTGGGCATATTCTTTCCCACATTGCAATAGAAGCAACAATGCTGCTATACTATGGTGTAACTCCTTTGGTGTGGTTTGTATTTTTCACTTGGGTTGTGATTTCTTGCATACAGGGTGTGGTGCAAAAATAAAATAAGGTTTATGTTGCTGTTTTTGTGAATAGTCATTGTTGTTAGTATTTTCCATATTGTTGCAGACTGATGGTGATGATGAGGGGAGGAGTAGTGCTGACGAAATGCAGAGACGAAAGTGTGTGTTGTCTGTTGCACTGTCGCCTCTCTTGCAGTGGTTTTCTCTAGTGCCTGAAGGGGAAAGGAGGGGAGATGGTAGACCTCACCAGGAGACCCTTTGTTAATGTTAACATTTTTGCGGCATGATGGAAAGGGAATGGGATTGTTTCTTTGTTGCTTCTTTTAACACAGGACAGAAAAGAAAGCAGTGTCAAAGAAAAATGAACTAGACAACCAGTTGGAATGATGTGGATGAAATAAAAGAATGAAACTGTGTTTGTGGGATGCATTGCAGTGGTGTTCCTCAGTGGATAGGGATGTTGCACGCATTCTGTGACCACCCAAACATGAACATGTACTTGATATCTGCGTTGTGGTGAATGAAGGAGTCTTCTTCACTG